TGCAATAATATCGTTGGGAGAATTGAGGATTCGATCATATTAGTTTCCCCCAATTTGTATCATTAATAATGGTCCGTTTTCACTCGAACTTTCAGATTATCTTTAATTGTACACCAACCATTGAAGTCACTACCTGCTTTAAGCACCATTTTTTCTCATCTGAACAATGCTACCAAGTCCCTTTAATCGTAGACTTAATCTAACATGCCAAATTCACTCCTTTTCATTTGTTGTAGGGATGGTACGTCGCATATATTAAAATTATTTTGCAAAGTAGTTATACATTAATCGTTTATGTCATTATTCTTTCATTCTTACACCTATGAAAAAAGCTTAACATCTATCATTGAGAATTCAGTTGATTTATGCCTTCATAGGAACGAACAAATGACCAGATATCCGAACGAAATAAGGAATAAAAGGAATACAACTGAATCCCGGGAACTGAATACAGAAATCAAAATCTAAATACTCTTTCCAGAAAAATATGTCTTTAGTTGAAGCAGATAATAGTCGGCTCTTTGAATGAAGTCACAACAAGTTGTCCATTAAATATGATACAGATAATTCGATCGTGCAAAAATGGCTGACACAAAATTGTAGGTCATCCTTACCTTTTCGATCATCAACATATTCATATCGATCCCGCATGATCTTATTAAAGGTGATCACAATTTGACATCAAACCGTTTCGATAAATAACATAAAATGTGTCCTGTTGAGCTCAAATGAGCGATACTCCTAAATCTCGTTTTCCTAGATTTTACGGTTTGTGATTGACGTTTGTAACGTTGAGTCCCGACATTTCGACACGGATGTCTAGTCTTTCAAACAATATTTTCGTTTAATATGCATTGCGTGATGTCTGAGGCGCGGCACGAAACCAGTTTGAGCAGCGACCCTAATTTGAGCGTGCCGACTAGTGACCTCTTCACACGATTTTTCGTTGTCAAAGTTATAGCCATGTTCGTAAATATACATGTAAACCCTGTATATACATTGTAGCAAAAAATGTGTTTAAACATTTCACTTGGTAAAATTTGTTTGAGAGAGTTTTCAACGGGGGGGGGGGGGGATATCATACAAATGATTGTAGATTATTATGTTATCATTTGAATGAACGTGAGCGAGAAGATTTGGCGAGAGAGAGAAAGAGAGAGAGAGAGAGAGAGAGAGAGAAGTGAAAGAGTTCCTTCCGCAACCAAACAAAAGGGGGGGGGGGGGGGATGAAGAAGACAACAATTGTGAAAATCAGAAATTATAAAAGCCTTTCGCCCATTAGTACTAGAATGCCAAGGGGGTTACATAGCAGTGATGTGGTATTGTTAGTAGGCGTTACTATAAGCACAGACACGCAAATATGTTTTGTTATGAACGATCTTTTTATAAACCCTATAGTGAAAATAGACAAGACAAAAGTGAGTTGAATGCTGTGTTAAAAAAAAAGATTCTTTGATTGAAAGCAAAGGAGGTCTATGAATCTTAAACATGAAGGTCGTGTAGTCATAAAGAAAATGTTATTTATTCATACCAATCGGTGGTTATTCATGTTTGTTGTCGGCTCTGAATTAATGATGAATAACTTGTCCCTTTCTTCGCATGATACTATACCATTTAAAAATAATGTTTATGATGAATTTACTGGATACAATCCTTTCAACAGCTAAACATAGTAAAGTTTTTGTAAAAAATATACAAGCATTTCGTTAAATCTGCAAATGTTTAGAATTGTTTAGCAATTTACTTGTAGAAAGAGCTTTAAATTAGAAGGATGATTCTGCTTCATTTATATTATTTAAAATTTTAATTTTAACGTAAAAGGATAAATAATTTGCAAAATGGCGTCACAACATACATGTAAACAGTATTGGAAAAAGACAGTTGGGTGGATTTACAAAGTAAAACTATATATTACAGAAATTTAATTTAATAAAATTATATATTTTTGTGAGTGAATTATTAGAAACTGATCCATGAATTTGAAAGGCCTCTAGCTCTCTTCTTAGTTTGAAACATATTCTTCTTTTCAGACTGTTAAAAAACAAAATGGAAAAGATAGAAGAGTAAACCGTTAAGGAAAAAAAGAGTACAGACAATATAAAGAAAAGGAAGTGAGTGAAAAAGAAAGGAAAAGATAGGAAAATGAAAAAAGAAAGAAAAGAAATTAGAATAAAATAGAGGAAAAGGAAAAGGAAAGAAGAGAAAAGAAAAGAACAAAAAGGAAAAGGAAAGACAGGGATATAAAATGAAATGAATTAAAAGAAAGATTAAAGAAAAGAATAGAAAATAATAGAAAAAGAAAAGAAAAGGAAAGGAAAAAAAAAACAAGAGAGAAAAGGAAAGAAAAGAAAAGAAAAGAATAAAAAAAGAAAAAAAGGTAATAAAGAAAAAGACATTAATAGAAAAGGAATTGAAAGAAAAAAAAAAAAAGAGAAGAAAAAACAAGAGTAGAGAGGAAAAAATGAATTAACAAAAGAAGAAGAAAAGAATAAAAAAGAAAAGGAGAGAGAGAGAGAGAAACGAAAAAAATAGCCGTCCATTGTGTGTTACTCGGCCAGCAGGCCTATTGCCTCCGTCGGTTTGTTTGTTTTGGAGATAACGACTCTTTTAGAATCATATCAATATTTGATTAGTTTGATCTAAAACAAACCCGTCGCAAATATAATCGTAGGTTATCTGTTATACCTTTTTGTGACGTCGACGCTTCTTTGGAGAGAATGATCTATCAATAAGGAATATAAATTTAGTTTTGCGGAAACGGAAACAGAAACCTATTTTTGTTGTAATACTGATACACATTTTAAAATGCGTTCTATTATGGAGTTTTGCAGGTTGTCACAGATGAAATCACCTGCTGGAAGTCAGAACGGCATCAACTTATAAGATATTACACAGAGTTAACGCCCTTCTGGCTCTAAGCTGACGAAATTGTAGGTCATGCTACCACGGTCCGCGTGGGCGCCTCAAAGGGATTCTATCTTTACTCGATAGCTCGCGTGTGAGCTATACAACCACATAATGGTTACCGGATGGGCAAACCCAATACAATGCCGTTGAACTTGGAGTCTATATTTAACACGAATTTCGAATTTCAAATAGAAATTCACCACAATTGTCACAATTAATGAAAATTGTCTAAATATATCATGCACTTCACATACATTGTTTGTTTTACCTCAAAGGAGTTAAAACCTTCGAAGACAATGCAGTTCCCCATTGTGTCCGTGTAAATATAGCTTTGAAAACGAACGCAGCAATAACGGTTTTCGTGCGTGTCGCGTTGCTAGGATCGAGTTGTATGTAACCATTACAATCTTAGGACAACATTAATTATTATTACTTATTCTAAGGGAGTATTATTGGACCTGTTCGACGGGATGACACTTGTTCTCTTCGTATAGTATGACTCATCTTTCGAGCTGTCGTGGTATAGAGGTTCATTCACTTGACTCTCACTCCAAGGGTTGAGGGTTCGAATCCTAGCCCGGAATCAACGTCATTCGGTGAGACAATAATCCACATTTGCCTCTCTCCTAATGATGTGGCTACCCATAGGACACATTTATTATAATTTATTATTGTCATGTATAGATAGCACGATCATCAGTGACATAACTAGAGCTAGGGGGCAAGAGGAAACTCCCCTTTAATTGAACGGCGAATCCCCCGGCCCTTCCCCCCCCCCAAAAGAATTATATAGGGAAAGTGCGAAAATTTGATCAAGGATGATGCGACCACCCCATCTAAAAATCCCCTCTTTCCCTCTCCCGGTGGCCTTTAATTCTCGCCCAATTCTACCATTTTGATAATGGCGGGACCGCCTACGCTGTGCTTCTGATGAAGAGTATGATGACAACATTTTAATAGTTTGAAGTATAGGGGGGGGGGGGGGAGAGGAGCTACCTATATTTAAAATTGTTTTGAGAATTCATATCTCAAACAAACATTTAAGTGACCCTAATATGGAATAGATAAATCTGGGATTATTGAAACATCTTCTTTTTTTTTGGGGGGGGGGGGGAGGAGTAGTGTCTGATTGATCGTCAGTCTACATGTTGTTCATTGTATACCGTTTCTAATCGTCATTCCTGAAATACAACATGCAATATTGATGTAAATACATGTCCCGATAAAACAGTTAGGTCCTATTGCAATGCTATATGTGATGTTTCTCTATAAAAGATAGAATCTAGAGAAGGGCACAAAATTCTACCTAAATCTATTTATTTATTTTATTTCCAGGCAAGATGATAACAATACATAGAAAACATCACAGGGTTGACAAAATGATATAACATTAACAGTACGATATTTAGCATCAGCCAATGCCTGGGGATCACCTAAAAGAATTGTAAAATTCTGTCGAGAGTCTCTCCACATTGGCTGGTGCATATATAAAACAATATATACAGATAAGGTAAACATAATTATACATGAATGTCTACCTAAAATTGACCCTCATATTAGGCACATGTGAGGGTGATCAAATACTTTTATGTAATACAATAATTAATTTTAAAAAAAATTAACGCAACGCACCTGTACATCGCTCGACTTGGGAGTATATGCCACCCTCTGGCAAATTTAAGAAACTGTGCATTATTAGAAAAATGTTTTTCTTGCCAGGCCTCGTAGATAAGCTAGGAAAATAATTTATTTGGATCCCCCTTACCTCTCCCAGAAGTAGTATATATACCCGCTCCCCTTTGGCAAATTTAACAAACTGATTATTATTTTGAAAATTTGTGTTTTTCCTGTCTGGCCTTATAGTTCAGAAAATGTTACTGTTATTCCCTTTTTATTCTTCTAGTGATTGTGGGCAATTATGATATTTGGAGACATGCAAGGGGGATGAAAACAAGAAATATATGTATTTACAAGCTACTTTTTAGCTAGTGCTCAAAATCAGTAAAACATCAAATGTAACAGTTGTCACATTTTTGTGAGCAAAGTCGAATAGTTAATGATGAGTCTGAAAATAATGAACACGTTATACTTACTGTTTTGTTTGTATCCTTAATTACGTCTGTTTTCAGGTAAAACATTTTATCCAACTCTACTTAATAATCCAACTGTCGAGGTTCCATGGCAAAAATGCATCTCAATTTGTTAACCTTCTTCGGAATCAGTTAAAGTAAAAGAAATCAAAGATTTAATTGTTCCATATCATCAATATTCAGTTTTGAACAATCCATCAAACAGAATTATGAAAACTGTCGAACGAAAATAGCAGCCACCTTAATCATCAAAGTCAAGTTCGACTCTTGATCGTTCACCGTGGTTCGCGAGCGAATTCTGGGAACAAGTCCCTCGGACCGCCATCACAATAAATATAACATGTAGTCTCTATATAAAGAAAAGGCAGTACTCGGTACTTTTATTCAGCGCTTTTAACGAAATACACTCCTTAATCAAAGGAAGAAAATAAAGCCTTAAACAAAGCTTACGAAAACCACGCGCGATTTAACACCATTCACGCTAAATTGCTCAAGAACAGGCAATACAATATCACTCGTTGACTTGTTCCTAAGTATAGCCGTTCTATTGTGCTCTACTTTTTTCAAACATGAAATTTAGTCAAGCGTTTATAATTAGTTGTTAAATAGTTGGACACAATGGTAAAGTCGGTTTGGTATTCATAACCTAGGCTATATACATCTTACAAAACAGCAGTTTGTAATGAAGCTAAAAGAGAATACGGACCTACGGCGCCTGACCAATGACTTGTCAGAATTGGGGTGGTGGTGGGGAGGGGGGGGGGGGGGGGGGTGAGGAGAACGAAAGTAAATCCTGATGCAATTACTGTGATCCATAATGATGTCAGAGGTTCTGTTAGACCATAGACCTACCACCAGGTCTATGGTTAGACCTAGCTGCTAAAATAGACCCTTCATGAACCTGCTTTTTTTTGGGGGGGGGGGGGGGGGGGTCTATGCCTATTTTTAGCAGTTACGAGGGATTTCAACAAATTTTTGGCCACTTTCAATTATTTTAAAGTTTATCTGCCATAGTTTACAGGAGGGATTAGACCGCCCTACAAGGTCACTGGACATGTGGTTATCTCATCAACTCAGCTCTAAGTTAACATAAGAAAAAGAGGATCATGGGGACCAATGGTCACCGATTAAGCATTGTTTGTTATATAGAGGGCGCAAGTAGCTACAAGTAGTGCAGTGGGCCTTTAATAAAAAAATAAAGTATAGGCCATTATAATGATAATAGATAATAAAAACGGTGATTATAAAAAGTGTAAATTTGTCCGCGGCACTCATATAGGGATGTGGTGGGGTCCCGCCCCGCCCCCTCCCGGTCCGGGGTCAGAGGGACCGCATGCGTGTTCCCCAAATACCCGGCAAAGGGGTACTTTTTCGCAAAGCCCAGTCCCCCATTGACTTTCACACCAGAGATAGGGGGTTCCTAAGTTAAAGAGGGAACATGCATAGGCCTACACGTTAACAATGAGTGAGGGGGGGGGGGGGTATGGTGGAACCGTTATGAAATTCAATAATCATGATGAATACACAGATGTGCTTTTGCACATTCATGAAGAAATATCCACGATTTAAATAATCGACCATACGGCGGCCCAGAACATTATCTGTTCTAAACAAGATCTTGATATAAAATGTACCAGCAACAATCATATAAAACAGTTTAAAGACCCATTTCCATTAAAAGCTGGGTAACTTAGATTAGAAGAAGAAAGAGAAGAAGAAGATACAAAGTAGAGGAAGCTAGAAGAAGACGGTAGGAGGATGAGAGAAATATGGAAAGTTGCAAGAGGACTATGTGAGGATCGAGGAGAAAAAAAAGAGTAGACTACAGTAGGCCTAGAAGTAGAAGAAGAGGATAAGGAAGGCGAAGAAATATGGCTGAGGGGAAGAGGAGTAGGAGGAAAAGAGAGGGAAAGATCAGAAGCCAAGGAAAAGGAGGAGGGGGAAAAGGAGGATGAGGGAGAAGAAGAGGAAGGAACAGCTAGAAGTAGAAGACACGTCATACATAATGAAGGAGGATTATCATGATATGCGGGCGCCCTTAATATTTCTCGTGGTTACGTCATCAATTTGTTTTGCAGACGGTGTTTCGATTCTAAGAGTTTCGTGGCAATTTCACTCCAGCTGTCATTATTTGCGGTAGTTAGCCTTTAACGAGATGTTGCTAAGATGAAATTCGATATAGTGGATTTCTACAACGAGCCGCCAATTAGGTAAGTATAATAACCGTATTTTGGTACCTATTATAGCGTTATAGAGAGCATTGTATCGCCATTTTAAGTCACTTTTTTAGTATTAATTGTTATGTCCCACATGCTGACTTTTGTGTTGGTCCAATTCTTGAAACGCCTGAACATGGAACACAACCGGTTTGAATTTTGACCATAGTTCGCGAGTGACCTAAGACTAAGTTCGCTATCTCAAAGAATGGGCAAGATTTCAAAAATCTGATACAACCAATGGAAAGAAGAACATAAAATTACCCAGAGACAATGTTTTTCTTGGAATTGGGTGCAAGATTGTGAAAATATAGACAAAAGTCAAAACTAAAGTCGTAAAGATCAGCAAATTTTGCAGTCATTTGGTAATAATTAAAATAAAAAAATTCGTGTAGAATATGAGAAATCATCGAATATCACATTTTATAATATTGTCAAAATCTCTGCAAACTTTGGTCATGCCTTCATACTGTCACATCCCCATTTAAACTTAACCTAACTTAACACATAGATCTAGCAGTAAAGATTTAATGAGTAAAAGTAGAGAAACATGCATATACATGTGTAGACCGAATTTTCCGTCTCTTTCGTTCGTTAGCCTCTTATTGGGGTAGGGTCGGCTCTCTCTTTAGAGACGGAAACCGTCTATACACATTCCCTTGATAACGCCACGGCCATTTCAGGTCGTAGCGTTTTGCCCCCAAAATCCTCCAAAATGTCATTTTACCTCGTGCATATCCACATGTAAATTAGGCCTAGGCTATAATACATCGGTTCCACTTAACAACTTGACTGAAATAATCAGTTTAATAGTCCCTTTTTAGGAAATTATGGGTCAAAATCGAAATCCATTTTGAAAATCTTTTTCAACATGGATTTCGATTTTGACCCATAAATTCCTAAAAAGGGACTTTTAAACTTATTATTTCAGTCAAGTTGGTAAGTGGAACTGATTTATTATAGCCTAGGCCTAATTTACAATATAACATGCACGAGGTAAAATGACATTTTGGGGGATTTTGGGGGCAAAACGCTACGACCTGAAATGGCCGTGGCGTTATCAAGGGAATGTGTATAGACGGTTTCCGTCTCTAAAGAGAGAGCCGGCCGACCCTACCCCAATAAGAGGCTAACGAACGAAAGAGACGGAAAATTCGGTCTAATACATGTGGTGTCTCAATAAAAGGTCTACAATGAGCTATGTGCAGTTAAAAAGACATCCGATCACCACATGCACAGCACCTACAATGTGTACGAGAATACACCCGACGGTGGCCTGTACTTATAGCGAAGAAGAAGAAGAAGATGATCAGTGATACTTTGAGCCCAATCTGAGCAAAGTTTGTTCAATCCAAAACTGAACACTGTTGCTAGAAATGGGCTTCTCCCAGCAGTTTGAAGAGATTGTTGTGTGCTTGGTACAAGATCTAGAATGGGCGTATGGACATAAGAAGGACATTGCAACCAACAATTTGAACATTCTTTGATTACAATAAAAATAATTATGCAACACATTTCAGTTACTCATGAAACTACCTAAACCAATGTGGGAGTGTGTCATGAATACACTGCTGTACTAGTTCAAAATAAACACCAATTTCAATAGAAGCAGCTTTTAATTTACTTACATTTGCTAGTTAACCTGATTCCAGGACTATTCAAGTATTTCTCTGCTAAAAAATTAGGGATTGCACTTTGCAAGTTGAAAATGGAATTAAAAATAATTATTTTCTTCTCTCATGTATGATACACCCTGTACTAACCCTGCCAGACACATAAAACCTATGGGAGCCAATTCTATACAATATGTAGCTATGCAGAGATAAAATTGTTCCGTTTCCAATGTAACAATCATTTTCTGAATGTTGTTATGTTTGTAACCCTGTACTAACCCCTGCCAGACACATAAAACCTATGGGAGCCAATTCTATACAATACTATGTAGAGATACAATTGTTCCGTTTCCAGTGTAACAATCATTTCTGAATGTTGTTATGTTTGTAACCCTGTACTAATCCCTGCCAGACACATAAAACCTATGGGAGCCAATTCTATACAATACTATGCAGAGATACAATTCTCGCTACCCTAAATAGGTACGAAAATCTCGAAATTCGCGAGACGAGGTAATTTTCACTCTCTCGGGTCGTCACTACAACTTCCGGTATAGAGTCCCATCCCGCTGGCGCTAGCACCTGTGTTCTCCAATGAGACCAAAATTATTCCAGAAAAAGTATTTGGGATAGCCTTTGGCATAACCATCTGGATCAATCTGCTCCTTATCGAAATGTCTCGAACAAAGCCGCGATTTTTTGGTCAAATTCACTTTGTCCTTGCGGCGAATCAAGCGCAGCCATGTCGCTCGTGTTCCAGCTTCGGTGGGAAATTTCACCAAGTCACGGCCTTCATCCACCCCCATTTTTCAGGGTTCTTACGCTTGGAATCATGAGCCCAGCACTGTGCAGCCTCACAAAAGAAAACCATCGTCACTGATGTCAAAAGACGCAAAAAACAACGAATGAAATGTTCAAATAAACGTTGAAATATTTGCGAAAAAAAAACAAGACCGAGCAGACGACATATTCGGTGCATACACGTTGTGTGGCGACGGCGTTTTACGTTTGCGCTATCGCGCCTAGTAATATAGCGCCTGCACAGGAAGCTGTAATGTCGAAAAGCTATCCCATAATGCAATGCGCGTTTTCAGGATTTTCCCCGGATCTCGGCAGAATTGCTATTTGGGGTAGCGAGAATTGTTCCGTTTCCAGTGTAACAATCATTTCTGAATGTTGTTATGTTTGTGACCCTGTACTAATCCCTGCCAGACACATAAAACCTATGGGAGCCAATTCTATACAATATGTAGCTATGCAGAGATAAAATTGTTCCGTTTCCAATGTAACAATCATTTTCTGAATGTTGTTACGTTTGTGACGATGTACATTTGCTATTATTGCATTATGTGCATGTACATGTATTTCTTCTTGCAATGTGCATGTACAATGACTGTAAAACCAGTGAAAAAAGAATTTTCTTAAAGGGAAAATAAATTTCAATTCAATTCAAGGTTACATGTAAGGTATTTTTTTCTAATTTAACAATAGTTTTCAGAATGTTATTATGTTTGTGACGATGTACCTGTTTGTTTTGCTATTATTGTATTATGTATTTCTTCTTGTATTATGTGCATGTACAATAATAAAAATTCAATATTTATGGAGCGCATAATAAACAACAGTTTCTCCATGCGCTGTAAAACCAGTGAAAAAAGAATTTCCTGAAAGGGACAATGAATTTTAATTCAATTCAAGGTGTATTTCAAATTGCCGTGTACAAGTATTAATTGCCTTTCAGTCTGTATCAACACCCATATTATTCCTTCAACAATCAAAATCAAGTGCTTTAGACATGTGATAATGTATTTGTTAATCTAAGCCCTTATGTCAGCCATACTCAAGGTTCATGCTCTAGTTATTAACCCACTTACCATACACTTAAAATGTGATTATAACCTCTAACAGTGTTTGTGAATGTTATGCCGTTTACTAATTGTTCATGTTCAGAGGGACTACACCCTGTATATTCCACTCTTGTTTTGTATCCGACAGATAACACAGCCTGTGAATTCTGCAAGATGCAGAAAAGCCAAGAGAACATATTAAATCATGGCACAGAGGATGAATTGGTAAGCTTAATTCTGCTGTATTTTTTGGTGACGCTACATGTGACTTTAGAAGCATCTTATGAAACTTGCATGTACAGTACAGTGAAACATGTATAAGACCGATCAAGGGAGGCAAGAGAAGTGGTCTTTATTTATATGCAGGTAGTATTTATAGACAGGGTATCCTAATACAGGTTTCAATTTGAAATAATTACCGAGGGAAACATGACTGGTGGTTGCTGAAGCAGGTTTCAATTTCTTTTTTTGAGGGGGGGGGGGGGGGGGTATTTTTTTTGGGGAAAAGGGCCATTCTGTACAATGTGTCCCCTTTGACATTAAGTACATGTATATCCCAAAAAATAAATATCTTGATATGACCATTGACTATAAATGATTCTTTCTAGTACATTATCACTGACAGCATGAAATTGTCATATCAAAGTATTTTTATTTTTGGATGAAATACGTGGAAACCCCCCCACATATATACAGTTTATCAGAGGACATATTGCATGGAATCCCCCCACCCCCCCCCAAAAAAAAAGAAAAGTATTTTCATTTCATTTTTAGTCATTCTCTCTAGCCTCAACATTAATTCATTCACCACATGAAATCCAGTCATGAAAACTTGAGTTCCAGCCTTTGTTTTATGTACAGTGTGTAGATGGTAATTTTCAAATGTCACAAATTGATAAAGATTATTGTGAACTCTCTCTTATGAATTGTATATACATTGTTCTGTACATGTTAATGTACCGGGTACTAAAAAAAGAAATGAATTTGGCAACTTTAATAAGCACATGTCTAGGTCATCAGGCTGGCAACCACCCAAACAAGTAAAGGAAGAATGCACAGACTTTTGTGACATCAATCAAGTAAAAGTAGTTTTACAATGCATAGCACATCAATTCAAGATTCCAGTGACATATTTGTAAATGCTTTGTATTGCTTCGATTTTGTTATTGTATCCAATATGTAAGGATTAATGAAATTTTTTTTTAAAACTTTAGAATGCTTTAATACAATGTGTTCATTTGTTGATTTTGAAAATTAGATATCATGGGAATACTGGGCCCCGTCTCATGTAGAGTTGCGATTGAATGATTGCTTGAGTTGCGATTGATATCAATTACAACTACCTGTATACCCTGTTCATCCAAGCTTAAAGACATACCTCATAAAAATGGTACCAAATAATTTGGAATGAAACACTCTTTCATAAGATGTATAATAATTTACTGTTCATAGATGATTTTTAAAATAATCAGCTATTTTCTAGGTGTTAACCTTTTTTTGACTCACACTGTATAAGAGATACATGTAGGAGACTGCAAACTTGCGATTGATTGAAGGACTTGCGATTGATACGAATCAATCACAACTCTTTATAAGATGGGGCCCAGGTTTCAAAATGAACAATAAACAATGGAACCATGATGAGAAAAAATAGATTTTCAACATCGTGTTAGTATGTACATATTTAACCTGTTCATTTATTTTTCTTAAATTATTATTGTTATCATTATTATTATTTTTAGTTTTTATTGTTATGATAATCATAATTCTTATCCTGAAACTCTTTCTTCAAAGTGCTATTAAAATTGAATTATTCTCTCCCCGTCTTATTCTTCAAATTATGCAAATGTAGGTATGCACAGGGTATAGGCGTAGCATTCCGAAGACCATACTCTGTGCCTTTCTGACAATTATCACGGTAGGGGCACTTCAGCTAGTCTTCTACTGGAAGCCAGAGTGGCGTCTTTGGTGCACCTCCTCAAAATGCGCATTAAAGAGAGCTACAAAAGTCCTTCTGCAGGTAAAATAGCTTGAAATTAATTCATTGATATTTACAGTTCAAGATAGTGTAGTTTATTAGAAGAGGATGTAGAACGATCAAGTGAATAATGAGTTTAAATGAGTTTAAAGAGAGCTGCAAAAGTCCTTCTGCAGGTAAAATAACTTGAAATGAATTCATTGATATTTATAGTTCAAGATACTGTTGCTCATTAGAAGAGGATGTATAGTGATCAAAGTCAATAATGAGTTGAAATAATTTAATAAAACATGATTGATCAAAATGCGCATTAAAGAGAGCTTCAAAAGTCCTTCTGCAGGTAAAATAACTTGAAAAGAATTCATTGATATTTATAGTTCAAGATAGTGTTGTTTATTAGAAGAGGATGTATAGTGATTAAAGTCAATAATGAGTTGAAATAATTTAATAAAACATGATTGGTATCTCATCAAAATGTGCATTAAAGAGAGCTACAAAAGTCCTTCTGCAGGTAAAATAACTTTTCATTAATTAACTTGAAATCAATTTATTAATATTCACAGTTCACGATAGTGTTGTTTATTAGAAGAGGATGTAGAATGATCAAAGTCAATAATGAGTTTAAATGATTCAATAAAATATGATTACTATATAAACAATAACAATGAATGACATATTACACTATTTACAGCATTATGAAAATGATATACAATGTAAATAAGATACAAATAAGAACAAGTATGGTATTGGAAATGGATCCAGAAAATAGCATTTAATGCTAGTCATGTTGGCCCCAGGTTTAAAAGTTACTTAATAAAGCAAGCTATTATTCTTTTTACAATTCTGAATTAATTTCACACTAGCTATCATACTCTATGTTTAATGGTATGTAAATGTATTTATTAACTTATAACACACACAAAAAGGAGTTTTATAGGAATCCATCTATTTCAATTTTTTAATAAAAGCTAATAAAATGGAAAGTGGGTTGTCAAAGAATCCATGTAAACATGTATACAGTGTACATTAGCTTGAACGTGTTATGTCCACCAAAGCTCAAGCCCTAATAGACCAGTTCACGGTTAGCACATCTCTGCAATGACCCTGAATATCCACAGATCTTCAAAACATGAAGAGGTCCCACTTTGTTCATTTTGAAATAATCAATCTTTAGTGATGGAGGTGCTACATACATGTTGTAAAAAGCCTTTGTTTCCCCTTTAAAAAAAAACTTCCACCTGTGTATCATGTAGTGCATTGCTTGTGCATTAATGAATAATGATTACAAAACTTTCATGAGCACGTATCCACTATTTCGTCTCTGGGTATTTCACAATTTGTTCTGCTCATGCTCAGACTGCAGCCGTGAACTGGCTTATTGCTGTCATTTACCTACTGTAAATGTGTTCTATCTTATCTTATTTTCCTTGATGAATAATGTAGGACCAATACAAGGTGCTATGTGTGGCAGGGATCAAGGCAAGACCACTCTCAGCAGCAGCCATAGAAAGCCTACATATTAACAGGTTTGTTGGACTACGTACAATATAGAGTAATGAAGTGTGACATCAAAGTTATTTTTTAGAATTTCTCAATTTGAACTTCATTGTCCGAATGAGCATAAAAAATATTGTCCAACTGTCGAAAACCAATTAAATAGGTTAAGTATTGGCTGAGATATGAATAAATAGATTTCCTATAGGAACTCAGTGTTATTTTGCTCTGGCCCATAATGTGATGAACAGGTGCAAAATAACACTGAGTTCCTATAGGGAATCTCTTTATGCAGATGGTCATACAAGTATCTCAGCCAATACTTAACATATGCAATTGGTTTTCGACATTTGGACATTATTTTTTATGCTCTTTTGGAAAATGAAGTCCAAATTGAGAAATTCTAGAAACAGATTTTTATGTTGTCGCAGCTTCGGTACTCATTTGATTTTGATTTGCCATTTATGTTATCCGGAATCACAAGAAACAAAACAAAATATATATATATATACATGTTAAAAGAAAATAGGAGGAAACTCCTTGAATGCTTGAGCACCTTTTCATGGTACAGTAGCTCAGCTAAAGCCGGGGAAATTATATAATTGCGGGGCCCTCAGGGAGCACAGTATTAATACTGATGAGGCTACCCTGGCTAATCAAGACATATTATTATTATTATTAAAACAAAAACAAAAGCTAAACAAGTAACAGAATGAAATAAAAACAAAGCAAGGGGCTTGTAGAGAAGCAACTAAGTTCCCTGCATGTTGCATATGGAAAATATTAGATAATTTTACGATTCACATTTAGGATACACAAATGACATGTACACAAATGTATATTAAGTTGCATACAGGCTTTTTCAGTATTTTGATTGCAAGTACTATTATCTAGAATGCAGGATGATTACAAGTTTACAATAGACAATTTTTGTAATGTAATCAATATTAAAGTATATGCATAATTCTTTGTTAAAGATAAACTTGAGTTCTGGTAAAAAAAGAAAATGAATTCTCACAGAATCTAACAAAACTTACACTGAATGTTCAAGATTACAAATAAATGTCATTTTCCAAACAATTTTGGAATAAAATGTATACTGGCTGAGTAATGAGCATAGAAAGATAAGGAAATCAGGGTAGTGCTAGCCCTGACACCATGTGTGTTGTCCCATATACATCTTTCTGTGTAAGTGAGTGTTACTTTACCAAGACTCTACCAAATTTATGATGATTTTGAAGACTCCAGACTCCATTACTTACATGCTATATGATCAACTTTTCTGATCCATTCCACACCTTTTCTTTCACAATGCAATCACATTACCAGAACTCAAGTTTGTCTTTAAGTGCCATGTGATGTTACAAATGATTTCATTCACCTGTTATAAAACAATCGCTAGACCAACATTATGGCCTAGGTCCTACCTACATGTTACAACAGGGAATGTACATGTATGCAATTATCATTCTGCTTATTGAAATACCATTATTTGTAACAGTTGAATGAAATAATTTGTAACAAGGCACTTACACTGTAACAAAGATTTGTTCAGTGAATTTCATTACAATACAAAAATGGCCTATTTCATAAACAAATTACCGTATGTATGGGATGGATTTTGTAGGTCACATTTTCTAACGCAATGTTTGGTAGTTTGTAAAAGGACATATTTGCTCGTGCATGAAATTAAACCCAAATACCTGCACACGCATTTTGCATGGAATTTCAAAGGAAAATCAATCATTGATTTCTGTAACTAATATTGATACAATGTCTGCTGTGTTCGTGACAGATTTGTATGCATTGTAAAGCCTCGGCTGTGAAATTTCTTCCCATTTTTATGTCTATTTTAATAGAGAACAAGTGACCTCCATCTTTAATATTGTGTAAAAGGGTAGAATAAAAGGAAAAAGTGCCAAGGACAGGGTAATAGGATTATGATTAGGTTTAGGGTTAGGATTAGTTACTGTAGTGTTTTGTCCAGGGTGGAAGTTAAAAATGGGCTATTTTCGTAAGGTAACCAAATTTAATGCCTACGGTACCTCAATTTTTTTTTTCAATTTCAATTTATTTGCTCATAAAAATCCAGAAAACACGTGCAAACATTCATAAATCAACATGATACAAAGGATAAAATTCACAAGAAAAATTAATAACAAAGTATACATTTAGATTAAGTATGAGAGGGACAGCAAGAAAGGAACAAGCCTTGTGATTAGCTGACCCTGTAACATAATACATTAAGGACGCTACAAAAAATAACAAATCACTTACAACAACATAAAGGGGGGGGGGTATACCTATACATTTAAACAAACAAACTTGGTGAATACCTGTCTAAAATAAAGTGCCTAGATTTTGACTTAAAAACATTTAACGAAACTGCTTGTTTAATATCTGAAGAAAGAGAGTTCCAGATTTGGGGTCCTTGAAATAATATTGAATTTTTAAAAGATGAGAGCCTCGGTTTGGGTAAATGAAAATCATTAGCATTTCTTGTATTGTATCCATGATATTCATTATTGAACTGAAAGAATGTTCCAGTGCCCTGGAACCTGGCGACAAGAGACTTGCGCTCCGCACACAACAGGGGGCGTTTCACAAAACTTGTCATCAGTGACAAATGACAGTTTTTGTTATAAGCTTCTGAAATCCTTGCTTCTAATTGCTTATCAGCAGATTTGTCACTGATTTTTGTCATTTTTCATTGAAAAAAGGCTTTGAGAAACGCCCCCGGCCCCCCCTGTTCTACCCCTGCCAAATTTCAATGTGGTTATGTGACATGTTTTATTTTAAATTTGTGCGGAATACCCTGTACATATACATACTGTACTTTTGAAAAACCATCCCTATATCACACACAGCTAATTATACATGTAACCTGGTGTGATCTGTTATCTTTATTTAATGGTTTTTAGTTTCATTTTGCAAGGTTATTATTTCACTAAAATAATCAGAACAAGGTCGATTGGCCATTGAGTACTATGGCTGGGCTATACCTGTATAGTTTCATTGGGTACATGTAGTTTGTGATTTCCCTTGACACTAAAGGACCTGTACATGTATATGGTTACCGGTAACATATATTTTCAGCCTAAACACTAGAACCTCTCTGAGTCTCTGTTGTATTCATACAAAAGGCACAAAGTGTAAATGTACATACATGTACATTGCATGTTGATACACACTCTGTACATGTATACATACATGTAACATGTCATGAACAAAAGTATACAATATGGTTGTGGACATTTCTTGCATTGTTGAACCAGTTGAAATGCGGGGCAGTGTTCACCAATTTCTTGTAAAGTTTGTTCAACTACATGTACATGTTGGTCAGATTGACAAATTTTAACCCACAAAAGATTGTTTAAAACACTTTATTTACCATTTTGTTACTTGAACAGAAAAGATGCAACCCTTAATTATGTCCAGTTTTGAATGTTAACCCATCGCCTATAGAAACTGAGTGGCCCCTGTATTAAGCCTATGTGAATGAAGAAATTCAGTAGTCAACCGGTTAAACAAAAAAGTTTTCAAGGGAAAATAAGGTGATTAAACCAATTAATTTAGGAAGTGGAAATTTATAAGTGATATTTATTAGCCTTGCCAGCCTTGTCAGTCTTTATAGGATATGGTTTGACTAACATGTACATATACTGTACCAGTGGCGTACGCAGGATTTTTTCAAGGGGGGGGGTTTAAAATCAGGTCCAAAATTTCGCAACGACTCAGGAAAATTTGAAAATCGCGGCGGCCAAAAAGTCGCTCAGTGGGGGGGGGGGGGGGGGGGGGGGGGGGGGGGGGGGGGGGGGGGGTAAGCGGACACTTTTTTTTTTTTTTTTTTGGTAGTCCAAAAAAAATCGCAACGATTCAGCCAGCCGAAAAGTCGCTCAGTGGGGGGGGGGGGGGGGGGGGGGGGGGGGGGGGGGGGGGGGGGGGGGAAGAGGACACTTTTTTTTTTTTTGGTCTCGAAATTTGAAAATTTGACATTTTGTTCCGTTGGGGGGGGGGGTAAGGTCACCTTTCTTAGGTCAGCCATGGGGGTAATTTTTTTTTTTTTTTTTTTTTTTTTAATAATTAAAAAAAAAAAAAAAAAAAAAAAAATCCAAAGGGGGGGGGGGGGGGGGGGGGGGGGGTTTTAGGGATTTTTTTAGGGGGGTTTACACACATAAAAATACCAAAGGGGGGGGGGTTAACCCCCCAAACACCCCCCTGCGTACGCGCCTGTACTGTACACGTATTAGATACATGTAGAGCCATGGTCTTTGAAATGGATTGACTTTAATTTATTAAAGACTAGTCTTCCTTGGGTTGGGCATTTGCCCTTGATTATATTACTTGTCCTTTGTCTAGGATCCAAGCTGTAGGTCCCCTAGGAGCTTACTATACCGTTTACATGTGTACATGAGTATAATTACATGTACATGCACACGTAGTTTCTTCAGTATTTAGCTAACGTAATCATTTACATTTTGCAAAGGAAATATACTTTTAAAACAATTTTGACTAAACAAAGAATGTAGCACTGAATTATTTTAGTGTTTGGAGTTGAGCCACAGGTCCCCTAGAACTTAAATGTGCATACATGTAAATGCATGCACTAGCTGTCGTACCATTCAGCTATTATAACAATCAAATTCATTAAGGATTTACCCTTCAACTAATTTGATTAAAAAGAATGGGGTAATTTTCTTTGCCAAAGTTTATTTGGAAAGAAGTTACGGTAGTTCTTTCATAACCCTGTGCATGGGATGTTATGTATGTTTCTAATGATTGTGCAGCTTTTAGAGAATGAAGTATATTTTTTTGTTTAATTCATGCATTTCATGCTTATCATATTCCAATACAAAACAAACGATTATCTGCACACATCACTTGCTGCTTTAACACTTTATTTAAAGCCCCACTGCACTACTTATAGCTACATGTACTTGCGCCCTCTATATAGCAAACAATGCCTAATTGGTGACCATTGGTCCCCCTGATCCCCCTTTTCTTATGTTAATTGTGAGCTGTTTGATGAGATAAAACCACCTGTCAGTGACCATGTAGGGAGGTCTAATCCCTCCTGGCCAAACTAGTACAGACGGGCTTTAATATTCATTCAATTAGGCCATTTTTGTAATGTAATCAAATTTGATGCACAAATATTTGTTAAGTGCCTTGTTACAAATTATTTCATTTACCTGTTATGAAAAACTGTATTTCAATAGTTAGTCAGAATGCGAAATGCATACATGTACATGTACATAACATGTTGTTATACAGTACATGTACAGGGACAAACATGAAGCTCGTCCTTCTCAACCACACGTAAAGCAATTCGCATTCTGACTTCTGAAATATGATTGTTCGTATTACATGGTGAATGAATAAATTTGTAAGGAGGAGCTTACACAAAGATTTGTGCCTTAAATTTGATTACATTACAATTTACATGTATGAAAATGGTTTATTATTGATTTATTTTGTACTTCTATAACCTCAGTTGCAAATGCTTTTTTTTTTTCTTTTCAAAGATCAGACTAGAATTGTTATGTGATGAAAGCATTATAGCATTAAAGCAAATAATGGCCTTACCCAATACCAAACCACAATGTTTACAAGCCAAGTATGAAACACCTGCTGTGCTTTGTGTAAATAATGTTAATGAGTGCAGTATGTGTGTATGGCAATCCTTCATTTGCAATAGTACACCCTCCTCTGATATTGTATGGCTTACTATAACATGAACTTCCTGAAGTATTAATAATGCATCCATTTGTTCCAACTTCTGTCAAATCTGCTAGCTATTAACCCTTTGCTTACAGGAGCATAGTGGTCCCTGTGTTAAGCCTATGAAACCTATAAAATTCAGAAGTCAACTAATTAAAACAACATATAAGATGCTCTCTGCAAGTGAAGAGCAGTTTATTCTCAGGCATACCAATTATTGTGATAAATACTACATCCAAATTATAATGTTTTACATTAAGTTTGGATTTTTATTAGTAATTTCCCTTTTTCGGATATATATACATGTACATTTATGAATGTAGCCAGCATTGTAAATATTGTTCCAGTGAAAGATATGATGCCAAATCTTAAATACTTAATTACTTAATCAATTTCATTTAGTTCCATCAATTTCAAGTTAAATTGTATTTCAGCATGACAATAATTATACATTTGGAGCCAACAAACAGCAAGAGCTTGTCAAGGTTGTCCCATACACAAATCAAATCATTTGAAAAGGTACAAATGAAAGAATATTTATGAATTATGCTAATTGTTTCCGTAGTGATAAGCCAAATGAACCATATGGCATAGTAGCACAGAAGGTTACAGCTTGCATTCCAATCAGTTAGAAGGACTCAATCCTGTTGACTTGAAGGGAAAGTCTACCCTTCTATTTACTTAAAATTTGTTTTTAATAAAAACAGAAAATATGAGAGAACAGATCAAGTAAAAATTTGAGCAAAATGAGAGCGACAAATACAAAAGTTTAATGTTTTGGAAGTCGCAATCAATCAGATACAAATTGACATCACTGTGATATATCTTGTGAGGTCCTTTCCCATTTGTTCTTCAGTCAGTACTGTCTGTACATAAAGTTTAATAGATTTCAAGAATTTTGCTGATGAAGGAATGTATTATTCTCATACTGGGGTTGTGTAGAAACATGTGTGCCATGATTAAATCCAGAGGCATGAATGATTGAATATTATTTGTCGAGAAAAGAGGAATTTACATTTGTTTTTACTATAGAGCGAATGGGTGAAGACCTTGCAAGATACGCCAAGGCATTGCCATTTTGGGCTTGGTCAATTAAACCTTTAAATATTCATAAGGCATTACCTCTTTATTTCTCATCAGATTTTCTCAAATACTCACACATCTGATTCTCTATTTTACCTACCTGTACTGAAACCATATCAGGGCAGACTTCCCTTTAAAGATTAAAGATTAAGTTGATTTCTGGTCATGTGATGGCATTGTTAAAGAAAGTCTCAGGAAGCAATTGGAAAGGGTTTATTGCAGTGTAATATGTAGCACATGAAATTACACATTACAAGGTGGGGATTCCTTTGGAATCATCAACATATTCTCATCTTGCTGTACGTCGCATACACTGTACACAGAAAGGTGTCGGTGACTACACACAAATATACAAGATAAAAGTTTGGTCTAAACAGTAAACACATTACATGTAAATAATGAAATGAATGGCCATTTTGTAAAGTAATCAAATATAATGCATACCGGTATGTCTTTTTGAAGCGCCATATTAAAAATTATTTCATTCACCTGTTACAAATAATTGTATTTCAACAGACAGAATGCAAAATGCATACATATTACGTATTGTTAGATACGGCAAGTCATAATGTTTGTCCTTCCTGGCAACAATTACTGTATGCATTCTGACTACTGAAATACAATTATTCACAATGAAATAATTTGAATAATTTGAATACAGTTACCGTAAATCTCCGTGTATGAGACGCATAGACGCACCCCTATTCTGGGGGAATTTTTTGTTGTTGTTTTTTTGTTGTTGTTGCCAACTCTGTAGGCCCAGGTCCGTGTTAAAAAACCCACATGGGAAAGGACCTTTATTTTACTGCGAGGTGCAGTTGAAGGCACCAATTTGTGCTTGTGAACTTGTCACAAATAAGAGTAGCAATTTTGTTTTTAAAACTAAAGATGACAGACAAAATTTTCTAAGTCCAAACAGAAATTAGTCCACACAAGTAGTGTTGTTCTAGTTTTCGAGTGGCGAGTCAACACACGGTGTATGACTGAGCTTTGAGACATTGCCAGGCACAGTGGTAGGTAGAGGGGCATAAATCTACACTAAAAAAAAAAAAAAAAAAAAAAGGTTAACCGTGTATAAGACGCACCCCCAACTCTCAGAAAAAATTTCGGCGGGAAAAAGTGCGTCTTATATACAGAGATTTACGGTATTCACAATGAAATAATTTGTATCAAGGCACTTTACAAAGACATAAGCATTAGATTTGCGGGTTACATTACAAAAATGATGAATTTATGAAATTCTCTTGCCTTGCCTCGACATAATGCATCATCACCATAATTGCATATATATATATTAGCAGTCATGTACATGTCGCAATGCATTATGAATTTACTCTACACTGTACATGTACATGTTCATCTAGAGTCAGTAACTGGTATGCTATCTGTTGCATTTGATATTAAACAAAGTGCTTTCTTAAACAACATGTATAAATCATGTATTGTTTTTGTTTGCACCCATTTCTCCCTGGTTTTTATTCCCCCCTGTTTTTTTTTATCCCCCCTGTTTTTTTTTTATCCCCCCCTGTTTTTTTTTTTTATCCCCCTCTCATGTCTAAAAATGTCACAAATGTGTGAAATTCATATTCTATTTTTGTACAATTCTTAAAAATTGAATTACCCCCGCATGTGAACTATATTCTATGCCTTCTTTGCTGTGCTTAACTCTACTATTTGCTTCCTGCTATTTCTTGCATTTATTCAATATCCCTTTTTGTCTTGCTCTTTCATTTTGTTTTTATCATGCCTCATTGCTTTATTGTTTTCCTTCCTGCCCATTTTTCTTCCCCTTTCCTCTTTCTTCTCTCACATTCTCATGATTCACCCCTGCTATAATTTTGCTTGCAAAACCTAAACACCAATATTAAATTCAAATACACTCTATCAAAAAATTGTGAATATAAATATTCATAATCATTACTCAACTATTCGATTCAATTACATGCAATCCTTCACCCAATCTGTTATACATTCATGCATATTCACATATACACTATACACACCGACTCGCATAAACACTACACATATAATATATGCACACACTACATGAACACATACGATACTTCCATTTGATAATCACTTTGTTGCTCATGGTCATTAAACTTCTGCTCAATCTCAACACCCATCAAACAAACTTTTACTCAAATTTATCAATAACTTGCACATTTATCAAACGTGTATGGGCACTAACATCTCACAACAAATTGTGTTTCAATTTGATAACTCTTATGTATTTGGTTTGTGTATGATAACTTCAACAATATTACACTGTCACATAACACAAAATATGTTTTCATTTATTTATTATTAATTAAATCCTTCACACATCCCTCATACGTTTATATTATATACACAAATACTGTGGAAACATCTAAACAACCTCATGGTATAACCCCAAACTTATATTTTCATGTGTATTCAATATATATTCGGTGTCGTTAATACTGAAAACCACCAACAAACACCTTAATCTGTTCCTCTCATGTTATATACATGTACATCAACTCCTGAATGCCTGGTACCATTTTACACCTGTCAACCTCTCCTTTACACCTAACACCTTTCATACACCCAACACTGCACCTCACACCATCCATTACACTAACCACAGCACCCCAACGCCCATGACCTCTTTGGTGCAAGAGTGTGACCAAGATCCAAACCAAGTCAGCGTTTTCTATAGCACCAGCACAGAACGCCACAAGTACACCTCGGAAAGCACCGACATCGCCGCCCCCGTGACAGAGGGAGGAGACGACGTCAACAATGGCGGGAGGCACTCGCACCTCTGGTCGTACTCGAGCATGGATTCCGATGAGGAGATTGATGACACCAAGGCGCTCATCAATATAAAAAAGACAGAGGTAATGTACACGCTACACCCTTAATGTTTGCACTCAAACTGAGGCATTGAAATATTGGTGTTTATTGTAGCCCTACACGTACATGTACATATGGAACCACAGATATGGAATTAACAGGGGAGAAATAAAATGACATTTAAAAATCAGAACTTCAGGTATTAAAGTTAAAGACCAGTTATGGTCATGCAATTGCATTGTGAAAGAAAAGTTGTGGAATCGATCAGAAAAGGTTGATCATCTAGCATCTAGCATCTGCAAGGTTCTGGAATCATCAAAATGATAAGAAATTTGGCCCATTCTTTGTAAAGTTACAAGCACTATACACAGAAAGATGTATATGGGACTACCCTATATCTCTCACATACCATGAGAGAAACAAATTTTCCAAATATATGAATTAGTAGGCGGTTTCCCAGCAAATTTTTTATCATCATATATTAGTCAAAACATATTCTTTCACATGATTGGTAATGAGAGCTTCCATTTCATTTTTTGAAATTGGGGCGTTTCCAATACTGGTCTTTACCTTTAAAGTTAAAATAGAATTGAAGTATAATCTAAATGAAGTTTTCATACACTTCTATTATAGGGAATACAATTTTATGCTGGAGGATATATATGTTTGATAATACCGTTTCTATGATGAAAAAGACGATTTACACATCTATGTCATTAACCAGTTTAAAGGTAATACAAAGTTTTGGTAAATTTTGAAAATTGGGTGGATAGTGAATCTTTACAATTTTGATATATTTGGATGCCCCTGTGGATGTATTATAAGCACTAAAATAATTAGCCTCTAAAACACTTCTGTTTTCGAGAAAAAGCTGATGTAAAAATTTACCGGTGCTCTCGGTAAATTTTGATAAATTTCAAATGGCGCCTATGGCCGTACAATGGTAGCTGCGACTATGGAAATCTCAGAATATGCAGTTGTGATATATAATTTCCAAACGGGAATAGCTAATCGGTCGATTTTAGTTAAGAACCATTGTTTCATAGCTAAATTAATATCTCGACCTTGAGAGGGAGCTATACAACATAAAGAGTTTATTATTCATAATTTCATAACTTTAGACTCGATTTCAACCGCGACAACGATCAATTAATTTTGTAGGAACGCATATGCTTCCAATATGTTAATTTGAACCAAATTCATGACCCCATACCAAAACTTTGTAATACCTTTAATATACGGTACTGTGATTATCATCTTTTTGCTGAAAAAAACTGTTTTTTATACTAATTTTTACAATAATACCGCAAATCACTATTTTATTGGAATGTAAAAGCTCTTGCATTTTCTAGATACACGTAAACCTGTACAAGTGAACGGAGAAAGAGTGTCTGTAAAGCCATACATGTATGTATTACATTTGTTAAAGAAACTGTTTATAAATGCATGATTTGATTATGTCTTGTTATATTGCCACAGACTCGGAACAGTTTTCGATACTTTGAACATCACAAGCTGTTGTATTACTGGAACGAGCCTTGCGACAGCTACCTCAGGCTGTATGCTCTAGAAGAAAATACTCCATGCTCCTCGATCTACAGTTACAGAGGCTTCAACAGCGACCAAAAACAACAGAGGTAATGTATTTTCTTTTCCTTCTCACTTATATTGAAAAAACAAAAAACTTAAAATCCTATTTCACTTGTACTTCATTACGTTGTCAGGGACATGCAAATGATTCCATCAGAAGTATGTGCAAATATTAAAGCCCCACTGCACTACTTGTAGCTCCCTGCGCCTTCTTTATAGCAAACAATGCCTAATCGGTGCCTGTTGGTCCCCCATGATCCTCTTTCTCTCCCATGATCCCCTTTCTCTTATGTTTATAATTGAGAACTGATTTGATGAGATAACTACCTGTCAGTGACCTTGCAGGGAGGTTTTATCCCCCTGGTCAAAGTTGTGCAGACAGGCTTTAACATTTAATTTGTAAATATGACTTTCAAGTACAAATTCAATTTTATTTAATTCCAGTAAAAGCATATAGTACATATACAAATTAGATATACAGCACAGATGCAAATCATTCTACTTGGAATCAAGGGTACCATTGAACACCAAGTCGGTCTTGTCGAGATAGTTCCCTTATGAAAAAGTTGAAAGTGCTTGAAAGCAAGAGGAGAGTACACTATATTAAAACATTTACTTACATGAATATGCTAAACTCCCCAAAAGCTCACATTCTAAGATTACAAATGTAAAAAACAGAAAGACCAGACAACTCTAAACAAATATTACAACTTCAGACTGAAAAATCAGAATATAGGAGGATTTTTTTATTTTTCTGTTAATACTATTATGAAAAAACAATTTGTGTGATTTCATTTGAAAGAGAATTCCATATTCCACTTATGTCATGTAATATATTTCCAATATACTTTAAAATTGAATTGAGTTGAATCAGCTCGATCGGTCTTCTGGGTCAGAACATACTGTGTTCTTTGCTTCTTCTGCGTCTGTCATTGAAACATGCATTAAAGCCCCACTGCACTAGTTTGACCAGGAGGGATTAGACCTCCCTGCAAGGTCACTGACAGGTGGTTATCTCATCAAATCATCTCTCAATTGACATAAGTAAAAGGGGATCAAAATGGTCACAGATTAGGCATTGTTCGCCATATAGAGGGCACAAGTAGCTATGAGTACCGGTAGTGCAGTGGGGCTTCAAAGTAATCTGAACATAGAGATGACCTGCATCTGAAGACAGCTTAACCTGTCGTAATAAAATAAATGTTCATATCCCCCCCCCCCCCATTGATCACCTAATGGCTAATTGTATCAAGAGATGTCCCTTTCAAAAAGCTCTTCGGCCAGCACAAGAGAATTGATGAACCTTACACTGTACAATCACTACCGAGATCTCCGTTCACATTTCTATTTTTTTTATTCTTCTGTCTATTCATTTGCCCAGGCAAGACATTTACGGGAGAAATGTTATTGATGTGGAAGTCCCTTCTTACCTGATGCTGTTTGTGAAAGAGGTATAGTGTTTCTTGCATTGCCTTAATTTGTGGTATAAATACTGGACAATGAGCAAATTAATGAGTAGCTGGGTAGGTTGTGTGAATTCTATTTAGGATGAATATAAATGAAGAAGATGACAAATCCAAATGGAAATAACACATATTTTTGTAAATGAAAAGAAAATAGATAACAAAGTCTGGCATTCTCAAACTTACTCTATATCTTCTCACTTTAAGTATGATACGTTTCTTGACTTAATATTGTGTTTTTCATGTCCAATTACATTTTCTACCTTCCTGTCTCAAATTTGAAATTTCTGATAGTTTTAATTTGGTTTTGACAGGCATTTATCAAACAGATACATGTACATGTACTTATACATACGATCCCCATGATTCTCGCACATCCTTTGTTTTGTTTAATAATTTTTTTAAAATTTCATTATGTCACAGTAATCCTCACACTTCCCCTATTTTGCTCCCCTAATTTTGGGTGGGTCTTGAGATTCAGATTTCAGATCCATATACCAGGGGGGGGGGGGGGGTGTTTCACAAAGATCCTAAAGTCAAACTGAACTCTAAGTTGGACCTAAACATTATGAAGAGCCAGTTGTAGCCCTAAAATAAAATATATTCAAAAGCAAAGTATTCTAGAATTTTCATAAATTCCACATTAAGTACATGAAATCTCATTGATAATAGAAAATATGAATGATTTGAATCAACATTTTATGCCTTTTAAAATATCTTTTACAAAATATTTTTAAAGATGCTGATGGCTGTCCATAATTGTTAAGTCCAACTTAGAGATAAGTTCAACTTAGGATCTTTGTGAAACACCCCCCTGGTATGTTTATTTACCATTCTCATGTTTGCCTCCTATTTCTCTCTCCTTCCAGATCTTGAATCCGTTCTACATCTTCCAGATTTTCAGCATCATTTTGTGGATCATGGAGAATTATTTTGTCTATGGTGGCTGCATCGGGGTCATCATCATCATCTCCCTCAGTGTGTCGCTCTACGAGACAAAGAGAGTAAGAACCGTAGTTTAATATGCAGTCGCAATAGTAATAACATTGATCTGCATTTGCCACTCTCCACCCAGGTGTTGAATTGGTACAGGTAGGAAGGAAATGATTGAAGTAGCTTTAATAGCTAGAGGAGGGGTATTATAATAGGAGTGACTTAAGGACCTTAACCCTAATAAGGCCGGGCTATTTGAGGTCTTAGTATGGCCGGGGGGGGGCCATTATGGCCCCCCCTTAAGATCTCGGCCGCGAAGCGGCCGATCGCCGCGAAAATTTGCACGCATGTCAAGTGAAGTGTATAGAATAATATGATAATTTCAATTTTTTGAAAAATTTACTCGTTTGCATATTTATGGTAATTTATGCAAATAAAGTCATAAAAATCACATTTTTACCCATAAATCATATATTATTCATATTTAAGCATTCTTTTTCACTACATATATTCATTAGACCATTCTGAATAATAATATGACAAAAAATTTGGAAGACCCAGCTTATTTCTTATGTTATCTCTTGTTTTGATAATTTCTTATGTATTTCATTGTTTTTTTAACTTATGTATTTCATTGTTTTTGTTGTTTTATTTCATTTCTTACTACAATTCAACTATATTGACTCCCAAAACAACCACCTAAACTTTAAACAAGACCCAATAACCCATGTTTGATCTGTTTTTAGGAAAAATGACTTTTCCATATGTTTTGTACACAAATCACGAAATTGAGCGATTTTCAGGCTGACATGCAATGACAAAAGGTCACGTGACCTTGCAACCGTAGGTCCAATTTTCAAAAAAATTCTTTTAAAAGTTGCGCAAGACTCGAAAGAAAAAAGTCAGCGAGCGGCAGGGCGCCATCCATATGCGTTCCCGAGCAATCAGAAAAATCGTGGAAGGGGGGGCCATTATTCTTTCGAGTCTTGCGCAACTTTTAAAAGAATTTTTTAGGGTTAATGGATATGAGTGCTTAGTAGTATACCTTTCCTTTGATGCATATTTCACGCATGATTGATTTAAAGCAAGCAAAAAGCAACATTTGAAGGAAGGAAAAAAAAAGTCATTTGGCGGGCAGTATCTGAATTTCACATTTCTAGAAAGTTCATTTTCTGCTCCTTCATATGACACCTCAATCAGGAAAAATGAGCCAGGAATAACCAAAGTTCTGTTTGTTTAAAGTGGTGCTTGCATTTCCATAATTTGATTAAACGAATTCGTTTTCACTGGCCGCCTGCCGTAGCAACAAACTGAATTTACAAAAGATTTAACTCCGTTTCGTTGACGATCAGACATAGACGAAAGACTTCATGCATGGCTGATTGTCAATGAATAGGAGTTAAGTCTTTTGTCTTTTTCAACAAACTTATGAATTATTTTGTCATATTGCCTTCTCTCTACTAACCTGCATGAATTGTACCAGAACTGGACAAATTATCTTGAACAGAGACATTAAACAATCCTTTTGATATATTCCAAAATGGCGTCGCACAACGTACATTTGTTCTCATGAGAGCCAATATAGTTGACCACTGTGGACAGGTGGCCTTTATAGAGAGGGTGGCCATGGAAATGGATTGGATTCATAGATTGTGACAGCTTTTTTTTTTTTTTAATTTTAAATTTTATTTATTATTTATTTTACTTTATCTTTTGTTTTGTTTTTTGTGACAGCTTTTTGATATCTCTTGTTTGTTCATGTCTTGTTTTTTTTTTTAAAAATCCTCAGCAATCGATTGTCCTTCATGACATGGTGGCCCATGAATCTACTGTGACTGTATGCAGAAATGGAACAGGTGAGTCCATCATACTTTGTTTGAAAAATCTGTAGATTTTCTTCTTTAAAGCCCCACTGTACTACTTATAGCTAATGGCTCCCTCTATATAGCAAACAGTGCCTAATCGTGACCATTGGTCCCCCATGATCCCCTTTTTCTTATGTTAAATGAGAGCTGATTTGATGAGATAACAACCTGTCAGTGACCTTGCAGGGAGGTCTAATCCCCCTGGCCAGACTAGTACAGACGGTCTTTAAACTTCAAATGTACATACCCTCTGAAATTTTGCTATAGAATACACCTGTACATGTACATGTAGCATGATAATCACATCTCACTGAATGCAAGCTGATGAGAGATGATTTGTCCAGTAAAGGGAGAAAATATCATGTTGTGATTACAATACTGGAGAGTGCTGATGTAGGGATTCGCGTCTTCTTCCTTGTAATACAAGTTCTTCAATTATATTTATATTCCTACATATAAATTGTATTGTTTGAGCAGATGTCAAGTATGTTGTCAAATTGAATGGAAGAAAATAATTGTTCATTTGAATTGGAAAAAATAAAAATCTTTTAGAAAATATTTAGGGCTGATGAGAGCTGTGTATAAAGAAAAGACTACTTTTATACCTGTAACGGTAATATTTTTATGAATGCAATTAAATTAAAAAAATTCTCTTTAAGATGGAAACAAAAAGTATATAGAAAGAAGTTAAAAAATAAGGACTAAAATAAACAAGAATAAAAATGGAATGTGATTTCTATAATTCCTCTTTGTAGTCCCAAATAGTGGGTTTATAAATCGTTTTGGTTCAAAAGCTGAAATCAGTGAATCTTTAAATGATTTTTTTTGGTGTGAACAGAAGAAGAGATAAATTCTGGTGATGTCGTTCTAGGGGGGTGTTTCACAAAAATTCTAAGGGACTCATCTCAAAGTTGGACTTTACATTCATGTAAAGCCGTTGACATCTCTGAAAATATTTTGTAAAAGTTATTATAAAAGGCATAAAATGTTGATTCAAATTATTCATATTTATAACAAGTCTAAAATACTTAAATTTTCAACTTTTAATTTATTTTATTTTAAGACTACAAATGGCTCTCCATAATTTCTAAGTCCAACTAAGAGTTAAGTTCAACTTAGGATCTTTGTGAAACACCCCCCTGGTGATTTGATCTACATCTCACCTCATGCTCCAGAAGCCAAAATTATGTTGAAATATCTTTTTGTTGATTTTTCTTAACAGAAGAAGAGATAAATTCTGGTGATGTTGTTCCTGGTTATTTGGTCTACATCCCACCCCATGGTTACATACTAAGTTGCCATGGCCCGTTATGCTTCAGAACCTAAAACTCTGTTGAAATATCTTTGTTTTTTCTTAATAACAGAAGAAGAGATAAATTCTGGTGATGTTGTTCCTGGTGATTTGATCTACATCCCACCCCATGGTTGTATAATGAGCTGTGATGCTGCTCTCATCGGCGGAAACTGCATTGTCAACGAGAGCATGCTGACAGGTGAGATCACTACTACTACTAATAATAAACCATTCTTTTATAGCTGCTCTGCTAAAGCCAGGGTAATTATGCTGCACTATTGCAGAGTGCTTAGAGACTTCTGATAAGGTAAGTGTCAGGCGCTACATAAGCAAATATAATTATTATTATTATAGCGCATATCACAAAAAAAAAATTGAGTCCCTCTGCGCTCAGAAAAAAGAAAAGAAGGGATAATAGCAGACATGAGGGAAGAGTAGAGAAAGAATGTCTGCTATGTCATAATGTACTAATGTAATGTAATGTACTAATTTAACAAAGAAATGTGTCTTTAAGAGACTCTTGAAATGTTAACCTCCCAAATCAGTCTTTCTTCATTTCCGTGTAATTGTTTTTTCTTTTCAGGAGAGAGTGTACCAGTGACCAAAACGCCCCTCCCCAGCCCTCCCTCTACCGAGGGGGAGCCCCCACAGTACTATTCCCCGGAGAATCACAAGCGACACACCCTCTTCTGTGGTACAAAGGTCATCCAGACCAGGTACTACGGCTCGGAGAAGGTCAAGGCCGTTGTCGTACGCACAGGTGTGTATTCCGAAATTCCGAAAGTAGACTGGATTCAAATCTTTTGAATCCCTTGTCCCGTGCCTTCGGGCATTCATATATTGTCTTACTTTCCAAATTGAACTTTTCCCATCTTTTCTGAATGGGAATTTTCCATAAATTGCACCAAACACATCAGCCGAAGCTGTAGGCGGTGACGTATGTGTTTGTAATTGGTGTTAGCAAAATCATCCTCACTATACGTTCATTGAATGATCATGCTTCCCCAAGATAAGGACTGACACTTGGTTAGGGAATGGCAAAATGACAGTATCCAAAATAGTATACTTGTGGTCACAGTTAGTAAATCAATCAAGTGAAATAAGTGAAATATTTCTTCTTTTTATCCCATTTCATGCAATCCATTTCTTATTATACTAAATATAGATAACCGATATACAATTTTGAGTAAAAGAAGTGTCTCAAATATGCCAGAAAATATTCAAAAATGACTGAAAACCAGTTTGTGCATATTAAATTAGATGCTCATGAATATTCATAAGGTGTTTGGAAACCGTTGACTTCATTGAGCATTTTGCTGTTTGTTTGTATCTTGCTAATTTAACTCATGCTGTGAAATGAAAACATTATGTTTGATACAAATGGCAATTAAATTTTTTTGTCTTCAACACTGACAATTATTTATGCAAATTAGATAAGTCATGGTAATTGAGCTAATTCAAATGATTTTGTCCAAACTTGCTCTTCAATTGAAAACTTTATACATATATCATACTCTTATTTATCTTTTACTTTACTCACGCTTAGCAGTACAGAAGCTAAACTCTCTGTCACTCTATTGATTGTAAGCTAGTATATGACTATTTGAAGTGGTGGACTTTAACAATGCCAAATCTGAGATGCATGGCCCTACGTGTTATTAGTGTCTGTGATATGGTGTAATATTGAAGCCCTAAAAAAAATTGGGCTTCAAAATGATCAAGAAGTGCCTCAAAAAAGTAAAAATCTTTGAGTGACTGGTTTTACCATACTCATTTTCCCCAATAGACTGTAGTATTATAAAAACCATTGGGAAAACGGTTTTTGAACTTTCAAATTCCAATCATAAATATCTTGGTTAATCAGACGGGCGATTGGCTTGTAAATGTCATGGGATTCTTGGCTGACCTGAAGGTTTATATTATGATTGCAGCATGAGCTAAATCCAGGATTACGGTCAGAATCTGAGACATAGTTCCCCAATCCCTGTAAAGTGGAAGGCATAAAAATGGCAGCATGTAACATTTATAGAGATATCTGTTTTGTTCACTAAGAACTCCCTCCAACTTAAACAAAAATGGTTCAAATATATTAAAGTCTAATAAATATATTAAAATATTTATTACATGCATGTGTTTTTTGTTTTTTGTTTTTTTTTCAATCAGGGTTTTCTACAATGAAGGGTGACCTTGTTAGGTCAATCTTGTTCCCTAAACCAGTTGGATTCAAGTTGTACTCAGATTCTATGAAGTTCATTGGGATCCTTGCAATTTTGGGTAAGTATTTGAGCTCAGTATTCATCTTTGGCTAGCTGTGTTTGGCACTCATCGTCTTCTAATATTAATAATAATAATAATAAATAAGATTTATAAGGCGCCAAATCCACTTGACAGTCAAACCCTCAAGGCGCAGCTTGTGCAAAAGATGAAATACGTACATGATACATTTATACAGATTTAATTTACACATGGTAGATGATCATAGGTGCCAACCATTTCTATTTTTGAGGAAGGATCTATCTTTTGATCTTCAAGCTTCTGTTTTTAACCCGATATTCCTCTCTTTTTTCTGAAATATTGTATATAAAAGTTATACAAAATAGACTATATTTCTAGAGGAGTTCCTAACTTTTGCTTTGAAAGATTTGGCTCACTAAATGGCTCACTAAAACAAACAATGTGTAATGACTTTTAAACAAAACCAAATTACATGTAATGTTGAGATGACAGTGTGCGAAACCTATTGGGTATTTTTCATGCAGAATTTAGATCAAGGAATGCAACTGACCGATCAGTAGCCATGCATAACTGCTTTGTTTATTAGATACCTGTCCGTTTACATTATATCCTTAATAGGTGAAAGATAATTCTGGAATGGCCTGATCTGTTTTAGTTATGTGAGAATTCACTATCGCTTCGCTATTAGAGATACCAAGATAAAATATCCAATGTAATTAGTTTTCACTTGAAATATGATTTTAGTATGCACAATGTGAGGAAAACCCCAGCAGTATCAAAGTCTCATTTAATCTGTGATTGCATCTTTCTTTCATTTATGTTTATTTCTCTTTAGCTTCAATTGGAATCATATACTCTGTGGTGGTTTTAGTGATGAAAGGTGTAAGTATAAATCAGTTTTGACATTTGTGTTGTAGCTTTAAATATAAGGTTGAGTTCTGCATGCATCGGGAGAGGTGGACAATAATAAGTGAGCATTTTCATTGTTTGATAATGGTCTATCCAGAATTCATGTATCCTACCTTCTACATGAAGGGTATCGCACGCTTGATAAATAATTTCTGTACCTGTATGGATATATGGCAATGAAAATGAACATCACTTTGTGCATAATGAATATGAATTTATATTTCAAGCCCCACTGCACTACTTAAAGGTACTTGCGCCCTCTATACAGTCAACAATGCCTAAGCGGTACCCATTGATCCCCCATGATCCTCCTTTTCTTATGTTAATTGAGAGCTGAGTTGATGAGATAACCACCTGTCAGTGACCTTGCAGGGAGGTATAATCGCTCCATGCCAAACTAGTGCAGAGGGGCTTAAAAAAACAACTTGTTTTAAAAAATCAGGTTTTTGATTTATGCAATGATATTGTAAAATTTCCCAGTAGAATGATGACCCTGAGGGGTGTTTAACAAAGATCCTGAGCTGAACTTATCTCTAAGTTGGACTTAAAGCCGTTAGCATATATGAAAATATTTTGTAAAAGTCATTTTCTAAGGTATATGTTGATTCAAATCATTTCAATTTACTAATATCAAGGAGATTTCATTTTCTCGATGTGAAATTTATAAAAATTATAAAATACTTCGATTTTCGCTTTTGAATATATTTAATTTTAAGGCTACAAATGGCTCTCCTTAATGTTTAAGTCCAACTTAGAGTTAAGTACGACTTAGGATCTTTGTGGACACCCCCCAGGTGAGTTCAGTTCATTTCACACAAAACAACTACAAATCACAAACGATAGGAATAACCATATAATTGAATACAAACTAGAAGAATTATGATCTTTGTGAAACACTTCCCTGATGATGTTTTATTTGCCTTTTTTTTTAAAGGCCAGGATATCAGACATTGTTTACAAAGCTCTGGACATCATCACGGTGGCCGTGCCCCCTTCACTGCCGGCTGCCATGACAGTAGGGACGGTCTATGCTCAGCAGAGGCTGAAGAAAGGCAAGGTGTTCTGTATCAGCCCGCAGAGGATCAACATTTGTGGGAAACTCAAACTTGTCTGCTTTGACAAGGTAAGTGCTTGATATTAATAACCTGTTAACTGCCGAAGTTTCTCAGTCCGATAGACTTAATACCTGAGCTGACCTGTTCCGAAGGCAATAGGTTAATTGCTAAGCCCAAGATAAGTGGGAATAAAAATCCATAGGGATTGCATATTGAGTAAAAATAAAACCATTTTCAGTGGGTTCTAAGTCTTTTTTTGAGTTATGGTGATGCATCTTTTAAGGTATTTCACTTTGTCTCATAAAGAGATGTGTTTGACTAGAATCAGTTGTAGCTTTGTACATGTAGCTTGATATTTATTGCAACTCTATACAAAAGAGATGGTAACTTAAAATTGATTGGAGGGCTTAAAGCCCCACTGCACTACTTATAGCTACTTGCGCCCTCTATATAGAAAACAATGCCCAAGCGGTGTCCATTGATCCCCCATGGTCCCCTTTTTCTTATGTTAATTAAGAGCTGATTTGATGAGATAACCACCTAGGTCTAATCCCCCTGGCCAAATTAGTGCAGATGGGATTTAATATGAATAAGCTGTTGACTGCTAAAGTCTCTCAGTCCCATATACTTAAAGGCATTGTTTAACAAAGTTTCCAGTTCTTCAAATCTGAGATGCATGACCCTACATGTTGTCAGAGTCAATAGACAATGAGTTAATTGCTATGCCCCATATAACTGGAAAAAAAAATCCATGGGGGATGCATATTGAGTAAAAATAAAAACCACTTACAGTGGGTTCTATGTATCTTTTTGACCTGTGGTAATGCATCTTTTAAGGTATTTCAATTTGTCTCATAAGGAGATGTGATCGAGTAGAATCAGTGACCCGTTTCACAAAGCCTTTTTTCAATGACAAATGACAAATGACAAATATCAGTGACAAATCTGCTGATAACCAATCAGAAGCAAGGATTTCAGTAGCTTATAACACAAATTGTCATTTGTCACTGATGAAAAGTTTTGTGAAATGCCCCCCAGTTGTAACTTTGTACATGTAGCTTGATATTGATTGCAACTCTATACAAAAAAAGATGGCAACTTTAAAATAAATTGGAGGGCTTTATAGACATTGTTAATTCACCTCCATAAACTGTAGACTGAACTGAAGATTTCTTGGACCTGGGGGACATTGTACCCCTCGTGGACCGGACTGTAGTGCAATTAGCCTCCACCCTTCCTGGAGGGCCTGTGTACAGCTTATACAAAACAAAAAAATACATTCCCTCGTACACATTGTTGATGCGTCTTCATTCTTATGTAAACCTTGTTATGCCTACTATACACCAGCTAGATCATCACACCAGCATCTTCTTAAGATCCCCAAGACGCAAGTAGCCTGTGATGAAAGGGCGTTTTCATCTGCAGCACCTTCTCTTTGGAATAATTTACCATTTAATTTGAGAATCATAACTTCCTTAGAGACCTTTCTTTTTTAACAACACCTGTATTTGGCACTATGACGCTCATGGAAACTCTCTCATTCTCTTGTGCGCCTCGGAATAGAATTGTCTAGATAGACACAGTGCTATATAAATACCTATTATTTTTTATTATTATTATAATTCTAGACTGGGACTCTGACGGAAGATTCTCTGGACCTTTGGGGCGTGGTACCCCTCCTGGACCGCATCTTCCAGCCGGTTGTCCAGGCAGCCAGCACCCTTCCTAGAGGGCCATTCCTAGCTGCGATGGCCACCTGCCACTCTTTGACCAGGATCGATGGGGAGCTGGTCGGAGACCCGCTGGATCTCAAGATGTTTGAGGCTACGGATTGGGTGAGTTATTAGGCCTGTCCTCACTAATTTTTGTCTTCATCAGCCTGCAGTTGCAATAAGCAGGATATTTGGTCAAGATAATCATCCCAAGATATCTTGGGCTAGTTTGCAAAATATCCCACTATCTGTCCGGTGCGTTTTCACCAGCCTGAAGACTCCACTATGCGCGAACACTCAGCAAAATATATTGAGCTAATTTCTCTAGCTCCAGTTCCGAGGTTGAGTTTCGAGCTGATGAAGACGCGATTTTTAACTTCTGGTTTATTTCCATGATCAGAAGTAGTGGGCTATTTGGAAATCTCAAGCTGATGAAGACATACCTATTGATGGTATGACACATGATACAGTAAGGACTGATCATTGATCATTTTCTTACATGAGTCGAATTACTCAAATGAGTAAAATTATGTAAACAAACTTAAAAGCTGTACCCAATGCTATCTCTAACCTCAGATCAGCCCTTACACTTACCCTAACCCTAACTCTAACCTTAATCCTATATATACTTAAAACCTAACCATAATCCCATGTCTTTGAATAAAGCCAGGAGCAAATTTCTTATCATCAAGTTGTTTGGAACTTTTCTCTTGTTTTTTAGGTTCTTTAGCTTTGTAATTAAAAGATAACTAAATATATCACTTTTAACAATGAAAATGATCTACTGATTGTATGTGTTGTTTAGATATTTATTCAAAGCAAGGTTTAAACAAAGTTTGAAATTTTGTACCTTGCATCTCATTGTATGAAAAATAATCATGAAATGAATTTTAGTCTCACTTACTTCTGTAACCTAAATAGTTGTGTTCTTACTTTCATCATTGTATTTAGGAACTTGAAGAGCCTGGTCCTGATACCAGTCGATTTGACAGCCTCATACCAACAGTTGTCAAACCAAAGACCAATGACACATTGTATGCAGCAAGTGCAGAAGGAGAGGTGAGATTAATCATTCATTCATTTATTCATTCCTTTGTTCATTTATTCATTTCTTCACTCTTCCATACGTTCATTCATTAATTCACTCTTTCATTGATTGATTGATTCATCCATTTATTTGTTCATTTATCCATCCATTCATCCATCCATTCATTCATTCATTCATTCATTCATTCATCCATTCATTCATTCATTCATTCATTCATCCATCCATTCATTCATTCATTCATCCATTCATTCATTCATTCATTCATTCATCCATCCATTCATTCATTCATTCATTCATTCATTCATTCATTCATCCATCCATTCATTCATTCATTCATCCATTCATTCATTCATTCATTCATTCATTCATTCATTCATTCATCCATTCATTCATTCATTCATTCATCATCCATCATCCATTCATCCATTCATTCATCCATTCATTCATTCATTCATTCATTCATTCATTCATTCATTCATTCATCATTCATTCATTCATTCATTCATCCATTCATCCATTCATTCATTCATTCATTCATTCATCCATTCATCCATTCATTCATTCATTCATTCATTCATCCATTCATCCATTCATTCATTCATCCATTCATTCATTCATTCATCCATTCATTCATTCATCCATCCATTCATTCATTCATTCATTCATTCATCCATTCATTCATTCATTCATTCATTCATCCATTCATCCATTCATTCATTCATTCATTCATTCATTCATTCATTCATTCATCCATTCATCCATTCATTCATTCATTCATTCTTTCAATCATTCACTCATTCATTCATTCATTTATCCATTTATTCATTTATTCATTTATCCCTTTTGATCATTCATTCACTACTGTCATGCATTAATTAATTCAGTTTAATGGTTGGCCAGTCATGAATTTGTTCATCTTTAATATGAGACATTATTAGCAGCCGCTAAAAGATGTATGTACATGAAAATACATTCAATGTGATTTTAACAAAATATAGTGATAATGTAAAACAAGGCAGTCTTTTTGATAGTCAGGATACATTTGAAACAGTCCTGACAGCACAAGTATAAATCAATATTGATAATGTAGTATTAAATGAAAGGGTATTATCATAGTGGTAATTTACAAGTGAGATGTGAGATACATTTTTTCTATGCTGGAGATAAATGTACCAGTCTTTATCGGACTTTGTTCATAGGTTTTTTCCTTCTTTCTGCACTACATGTATTATTTGAAGCTTTCTCCTTACCACCATAGTTATTTCATCATCTGTATTACATGACGTTTTGTTAGAAGTTTTATTGTGCGTACCAAGATTTATTTATTTATCTTATTTGTCATTATTATTTGTTATTATGTCTATTTTCCGCAGGAGGAGTTTGAGATCGGGGTAGTGCGGCAGTTTCCGTTCACATCCAGCCTGCAGAGAATGTGTGTGATCACCAGAACGATGGGAGCCAAACACATGGATGTATATGTGAAAGGAGCCCCAGAGATGATTGCTTCATTATCAGATCCAAAAACATGTATGCTGGACTATATTTCTCTCTATTTTGTTGTTGTTATTTCTTTTGTGCCACTAATATCGTTTCGCATTTGCACTGTTGACTCGGTATCAGGTATGCAACAATGGTTTCAATCAGACATAGTCAATGCTCTAGTACATGTAAGGAGAGATTTCAAAATTCTTTGTTGCATTGTTGCAATCATCTGCCCTTACTGTGATACCCCTGAATTTATCAAGATCTCGTCATTGTTGAAGAAAAATGTCTTAAATATAACTTAAGCTTACAAAGTACGTTACTTTTTTCTTCAACAATGAATTATCAAAGAATTTAAATCCGGAAGATTTGTGACGTCCCTTGAGATACCAATAGTGAGAGCACCCAGTAGCATGAACAGCCTGCCATAGTTAAGTCCATCTTAAAGTCGATCTTAGTCTGTGTTAAAGCCCCACTGCACTACGGCTACTTGCACCCTCTTTATAGCAACAATGCCTAATCGGTGACCATTGGTCCCCTATGATCCTCTTTTTCTTATGTTCATTGAGAGCTAATTTGATGAGAGAACCACCTGTCAGTGACCATGCAGGGAGGTCTAATTCCTCCTGGCCTAACTAATGCAGTGGGGCTTTAAACACTCCCCAGGGTCAGCTGTGTCTCGTGCTATGATCATTTATCATTTCCTCCTTGCAGTACCGGAGGATTTCCAGGAAGTGTTGCAGAACTATACCCAGCAGGGCTTCAGGGTACTGGCCCTCGCTTGGAGACAGATGGATCCCAATTTCTCCTGGCATCATTCTCAGAAAATACAGAGGTAATACTCACTTCTCAATCCTCAACTTTGACCTTTGAACTATAACATGGAGATGAGGTTTCGTGGGGAGATGGAAAAGGGACCAGTTACCTAGAAAATGTAAAACATACAAACAATTGTGTATAGCTAGTATGTATAAAATCAACATACAAAAGCTTTCTCCCTTGACCGTTCAAGGGAGACATAAAACATATTTTTTATAGGCAGGCGGTCTTTAAGTACAGGTTCCTTTAGTACAGGTTTTAATGAGAAACCATATCCAATGGAAACAAAATATGTGGTCTTTGTAGACAGATCCTCTTTCCGTACAGGTGGTCACTGAAGCAGGTTTGATTGTACAGTCAAACCTGCTTTAGTGACCACCTGTCTTCAAAGACCACCTGTCTACAAAGGCCACATTTGTTGTTTCCCTTGAAAATGGTTTCTCATTGAATCATGTACTAAAGGAGCCTGTCTAGTACAAAAACCACCTGTCTACAAAGACCACTTTTTGTGTTTCCCTTGGGCGGTCGCTATAGAGAGGTTTGACTGTATGAGGAATTTTATTGCCAATTTTGTTTCTTCCTTTGTGTGTTTTAGAGCGGAGGTTGAATGCAATCTGACGTTCTTAGGCCTCCTCATCATGCAGAATGCCCTCAAACCAGTCACCACGGAAATCATCAAACAGCTCAACGATGCTAATATACGCACCGTCATGGTTACTGGTAGGTAATCCAATCCTGATAATTACCAGATTTAAATCGGTTTCCCAATTTTTTTTTCTTCCTGATTATTTTTTCTTCCCGATTTTTTTTTTTCTTACCTGATTTTTTTTCTTCTTTTTCTTCCCGATTTTATCCCTTTTTCCATAGTTTTTCTCTTATTTTCTCTGTTCTTTCCTACTTCTTTCCTACTTTTTCCCTATTTTCCCCGATTTTCTTACTTAAAAAGGGGGGAATGTTGTTTGATGGCATTCCCCCCCCCCCCTGAATCCTTTTTCTTTTTTTTTTACTCAAGGGGGGCTTGGTTGAGGGGGAAAAAAAAAAGCCTTTCTTTTTTAGTGCTCACTATCACCCCTGGTAATCATACAATGATGAATATTCACTTCATATATCCAGTTTTCATTTTTTCAATTTTTTTTTTAAAGAATTAATTTAATTCAACATGGCAGCCCTAGGGCTGAATTGCATGAAATGATAAAGTATAAGCATATCAAATATATTACTGAACTTTTTTTTAAAACTTACATTAGTTTGTGTATTATAAAATACTTATTATGTATTAAGCACAAATTTGTATTTCCAATATATTTTCCTTTACACCATGCCACCTTGTTTGATGGACCATACACAAAGACAAAAAAAAGTTTGTTCAACTTTTGCCTTTTTTTTTTACTCACCCTGCATATGTATTCCAACTTGTTTACCAATAAATAGTCAATTTCACCCATCAAATGATGACATGTGGAATTGACCAAACTTTGCTTCCTTGTCATTTCCCGATAAAGGTGACAACATGCTGACCGCTATCAGCGTGGCAAGGGATTGTGGGATGGTAGGTCGTAGGTCAAAGGTCATCGTCATCAATGCCCATCCTCCCCAAGCTGACCTGCCTGCCCGTATCGAGTGGAGCTACGACACCATGCCCGATAGGAACTCAGAGTGCCTTTCATCCAATTCAGAAGTAAGTGGAAAGAGGTTGTATGGCACTTCTTCCTGCGACAATAGACCTGGGGAGTGTTTCACAAAGATCCTAAGTCGAACTTAACTCTAAGTTGGACTTAAAACTATGGAGAGCCATTTGTAGCCATAAAATATATAATTTTCAAAAGAGAAAATTCAAGTATTTAGACTTTTTATAAATTCCACATCAAGAACATGGAATCTCTGTGATAATAGAAAATATGAATGATTTGAAACAACATTTTATGCCTTCTAACATAACTTTTACCAAATATTTTCATAGATACTAATGGCTTTCCATAATTGTTTAGTCCAACTTAGAGATAAGTTCAACTTAGGATCTTTGTGAAACACCCCCCTGTTTACTAGCACATTCAAATGTATGGATGTTTTTTTCCTGGGGGACTAGTGATGAGTTATTCCATTAACCTGTTATAAATGAATGAACTTAATCGTTGTCAAGAACAACCTTTGTTAAAAAAGTATGCATACAATTTGAGTATGTTAGTAAGTAAACTGGTGTATTGCTATGCAATAATTTCCTACCCTAACTGAATTTCTAACTTTGACCCCCAACACAACACTATCCCTGACTCTGATACTATCGCTAACCCTAAATCTAACCTAAAGCTTAATCGTAACCCTAACCCTATAACTTTGAGGAAACGAATGCCAGAGCAATTGCCACTGGAGAAACGTAGGACCACCATGCAAAGGAGATGTAGACAAACCTGTATTCATGTATAAAGACAAAGGGAATTTTCAAAGCCTTAAAGTCTTACGTTGCAATCCTATAAAATCATTATTTTTTTTAGACTTTTAACTTTGAATACCATCTCTTTCCTGCTTTATTTCACCTTCAGTCTTACCAAGAAGACATCGCAGTCGGCCTAGAGCATGAGAAGTATCACTTTGCGGTCGCTGGCAAATCGTTCGCTGTTCTCAAGAGTCATTTCCCAGACCTCATGGACAAGGTGGGTTCCTTATTTAATTTGATTTGATTTAATTTGATTTATTTCTGTTTGATTTTCTTTTTCTTTTGCAGTTTTCACAAATATATAACAAAAAACAAATTAAACAAATCATTGCAAATTTTACACATGACAAAAGAGTATATCTAGAATAAAGTAAGGCTGGTAGCAACTAATCAAAAACATCAAACAGGAGGGTTGACAAAGTAAGCAAAGCTTGATAGCATGACTACCCTCAATGGATTCATTTTAATTCAAATATGGAGGAAAAAAATATTGGTAAAAGGGAAAAAAGAAAGAGAGAGAAAAAGAAAGTAAGAAAGATGGGGTGTACATCAAGATTCACAGATGTATGTGGTAGTTGGATTTCAATTTCATACATGAAGATAAAAAAAAAAAGATGCACATTTCAATATGGAGTGCCTCCTCCCACTCTCTTCATCCTTTAAACAGATACCATCATTCTGTACCAAGTTGCATATAAACCCTTAATCAAATCATCATGAAATCTGTATCCCATTTTCTATTTACATGGCTATGAAATCATAGTGTTTTAGAATTATATGCATTATATGAAATAAAGATGTTGACACTTTTAGCTCCATAAATGAGTGGACGAAGTAAAACAGAGTCTAAGTTGTAGTTCGCCTTCATGATTATTTCATATGAGCCAGAAATTAACTGTCGGAATTTCAGAATGTAGAATTGAACACCCAATGTTTTGACATATGATTTTAGTGGAATGTCAATATTATTATCATATTTTTATATGAATGGAATAAGATTCTTAAAGCCACACTGTCCTACTTGTAGCTACTTGCTCCCTCTATATAGAAAACAATGCCTAATCAGTGACCATTGGTCCCCCATGATCCTATTTTTCTTATGTTAAATGAGAGCTGAGTTGATGAGATAACCACCTGTCCAGTGATCTTGTAGAGTGGTCTAATCCCTCCTATAAACTAGTACAGATAAGCTTTAAAAGACAATAATATTCATTCAAATAACATAACACATTAACAGTTGTATTCAAAGGGTATGCCTGAAATATCATTTAGTATCACTTAGCGAGAAATTTGTGCTTGTCCTGCAGTTTTCAGATAAATTTTTCATTTGCTTTTGGTACATAGATTGTCCAGAGGGGAACAGTTTATGCTCGCATGTCCCCGGATCAAAAGACACAACTTGTGGAAGCCTTGCAAAGTTTGGGGTAAGTATTTGATTCTGTTTAATCTCTTTAAAGGTATAGACCAGTTCTGGTCATGCGATTGCATTTTGAAAGAAACGTTGTGCAATCGATCAGAAAAGATTGATCATCTAGCATATAAGTATTGGTGTGTACTGCAAGGTTCTGGAATCATCAAAATGATAAGAAATTTGGGCCAGTCTTGGTAAAGTTACAAGCACTGTACACAGAAAGATTTATATGGGACTACACAGACATGTGGCATAAAAATCTGTCCTGATTTTTATGATGTCACATGCCATATTTAGAATATTAAGGCATTTGAAGAGACATGCTTTTCAGGGAACATTTTGTATCTTGATGTTCATCCACACTTGCATAATACAATGATAACATTCACAATTTTTTTTCACCTTTTCCCAGAACTCAACCTCCTCATTAAAGAGCATTTATAAGAAACCAAATACTTTCTGTTTCGAAAGTTTGAGAGACAAGGTTGTTTCCTCAAATACCTTTAATATAGAGTTGACACAAGAGAATACATGTTGCTATTTTTTTGTTTTGCAGTTGGATAAACACTTCATTTCAAATCCTCTGTATTTCAGGGGTGGCACTTTGTGCTAGTCATATGACCCATTCTAAACAAAGATTTACATTTGAAATAAAATAAATTCATATTCCACAACACAAATTTTTCTGCAGTTTCTTACAGGCATCAAGATGAGCAATATCAACCAAGAATCCACAATTTTTATGGCACAGAATTTCTCCATTTAACTCTACATTTAACTCTACATTTGGATTGATTGATTTGATTTGTACTTATTTGAGTGGTGTGTTTAATTGACCCTAAATATGTTCTTGACCTAGCCTCCCTTCGATCCTCTTTTTCTGCCAGATCCCTCCGTTCGTCTTCCTCCATGCAACTAATTCACGGCCCACAAACAAAAACATTTTATGGTGACCGTGCCTTTTCATCGATCGCCCCCGCCCTCTTGAACAAACTCCCACCCCATATTCAAAACGCCCCATCCATTGAATCATTCAAAACCCTTTTCAAAACTCACCTTTTTAATCAGTTATAGTATACTGGAGGCGCACACAAGTAGTTAATTCCATTCAACTGAATTGTATTGTATTAGTAATATTTTATTTTATTTTGTGACCTTTAAGCTATTGAACATGTTGAATAAGTTAGACAGTACCACCTGTGCGCTGAGAACTGCCTGTATAAAGTGCCCTATAAATGTAATTATTGTTATTAATTGTACAGGTATTGCGTAGGGATGTGTGGTGATGGAGCCAACGATTGCGGAGCGTTGAAGATGGCCCATGCAGGAATATCCCTCTCAGAGGCAGAAGCTTCCGTTGCGTCCCCATTCACCTCGATGGTGCCTGATATATCGTGTGTGCCTAACGTCATCAGGTATGGAGTAGACTTTATTGATGGTGGTGGTGGTGGTGGTGGTGGTGGTGGTGGTGGTGGTGGTGGTGGTGGTGGTGGTGGTGGTGGTGGTGGTGGTGGTGGTGGTGGTGGTGGTGGTGGTGGTGGTGGTGGTGGTGGTGGTGGTGGTGGTGGTGGTGGTGGTGGTGGTGGTGGTGGTGGTGGTGGTGGTGGTGGTGGTGGTGGTGGTGGTGGTGGTGGTGGTGGTGGTGGGTGGTGGTGGTGGTGGTGGTGGTGGTGGTGGGTGGTGGTGGTGGTGGTGGTGGTGGTGGTGGTGGTGGTGGTGGTGGTGATGATGATGGTGATGATGATGATGATGATGGTGATAATGGTGGTGATGATAATGATGAAGATGACAATGATGATAATGATGATGATGATGATGATGATGATAGTGGTGATGATGATGAAGGTGATGATGATGATGATGATGATGATGAAGAAAATGGCCATGCTGGGATATCTCTCGTTTCTGAGGCAGAGGCTTCCTCTTCCCTTCCCCTTCCTCTTCCCTTCCCCTCCTCCCTTCCTTCCCCTCTTCCTCCTACTGCACTTCCATTGATGATGATGATGATGATGATTATGGTTATGGTGATGATGGTGAGTATGTTGATAATAATGATGTTGGTGATGATAATGATGATAATCTGCTCAACAGCATATCACACTGATATAATATCCGAATGCACTTCCAAATAGCTTTTAAGATTACCATCTCAGCTTTAGCTGGGAATCGTGATCAGAGCAGGTGCGATTCAAGGAAAAATCCTACCATTTTCCCTCATTTTGCATCTTGGTTGAGAGTGATACTTTGATATTAATGCCTAAGGATTATAGGACTTCAAGAAACTTATATGAACAAATTTGTTGATGAAATTTTCATTTTCTTCTTTCATTATCTTTTACGTCTGCAGAGAGGGAAGAGCTGCTCTGATGACATCCTTTGGTGTTTTTAAGTACATGGCTCTCTACAGCGTCATTCAGTTCACTTCAGTCATGCTACTCTACTGGGTGAGTTATGAAAAACATATTTGTGCAATTAGAATTACAATCTTCTACATGTATACTAAGACAGGTTTAGTAAGCAGCAGTGCATTTGTGTTTGATTTTGTTAGGATGACATCGCAAAAATTGCAAATTATAAAGTGAAATATTAACAATGCAACTCTCGCTGCAGTATGAAATACATGTACAACATGTTCATCCATTCAATGTATGCACATGTCATGAAACGCTGTAGACGTAAACGTCACTATGTACAGGCTTTTCATGGATTACAGAACATGGAGAAGTAAATAGTGATTTGGGAGGCAAGGAGGAGATTTCAATAATCCCTCATCTTGAGTACGCTTAAGATGCCACTCTAAAAAGGAAAAATTTGACAGCTGTTAAGAACTTTGTCATTTTCTTGCTGTTCATCTACTAAAATTATTAGAAACCAAGGTGGATTTGGGTACTTTTAAGTACTTCAACATAAGTAGGGCCTTGCAGCAATGTGACATATTTATTGCCATTTTCATGTAATAATTGAATGACAGCTACATGTGTGAAAATGTTATTAAAGGGACTCAGTAACATTGTTCAAATGAGAGAAAATGGTGCTAAGGTATGCTAGATATACAATTTAAGCTCTGTAATCTGAAAGTTTGAGTGAAAACAGCCATTATTAGTGAAAAAAAATTGGGAAAAACTGACCTGATCGATTCCTTAATTCTCTCAACTATATTATTACAATTCAATTACATTTTAGGTGAATGTAAATCGTCACAAAGCAATGAATTGGCTGTACAGGTATATACCATTCCAGATATTTAAGTGTCAAAAGATTTTTTAAAGCTTGTCTTATGTCTTAGTTTCATGGAAAACAGTTGGAAAAAAAAATCAAATATGGTTGGGAGAATTTACGGTTAGAGGTTGTGGCACAATGATGCCTTCAAAGAAAATAAAAAATCTCTTTGTGGTTTGAGAATTTTTTCAGGATTTGTTGCATGTTGGAGGGTTAGTACAGTAGAAGGAATATAATACCGCTAAGTTACATTTCATACAAAAATTAGGCAGTTTTTCCATCAATCTTCAACAAAGTAACAGAGTCATTTTAAATATTTGTGTATATGTCAAACAGGGCGTATGTTTATTTTAACTTAGCTAAGAAATAGCAAAATATCACAAGCATGCGTATGTCAAAGGGGCTTAGGTAATTCTCAGAGCCAGAGCTCAGTGCAGTTCTGGAAAATTGGTTTGCAATAGTGCGATGTTTGTATATATGAAGAGTTTAATTTCAAAAGGAGCTAAATCCATTTTTGTAACTTCAGATTTTTTACAGGCGTCTATTGAAGAGTGATATTAGAAGTTGCATTTTTTCATAATTACTCCTAAAATTTAGGTAAATAATGTTGTTGAAAGACTGGTACTTCAGTGAACAATGTTCTGATATCAATAATTCAATTTTCATCAAAAGTGGATTTAGCTCCTTTTGGAATTAAGCTCTTCATATGTCAAAGAGGGCTTATGTTTATCTGCACATATTCGAGGGTAGAGCACAGCTTAGAAATAGCAATATCACAGGCATGTATATGTCAAAGGGGCTTGGGTAATTCTCACCTTCCCAGAGCTAGAGCTCAGTGCAGATCTGGAAAAAAAAGGTTTGCAATAGTGCAATGTTTGCATATATGTCAACGAGGGCTTTTGATTGTTTGCACATTATTGATGTGTAGAGCACGCTTCCAGCCATGTATTTACATTGCTTCTCTCTCTCTATCTCTTACTCACTCTCACCTCTCCCTTTCTTATTCTGTCTCTGTCTCTGTCTGTCTCTCATTCTCTTTCCTCTTTCTTCCTTTCTCTTTCTCCTTTTCTTTTCCCTCTCTCCCTTTCTCCTCCTCTCTCTTTCTCTTTCCCTGTCATCCTCTCTTTCCCTCTTTCTCCTCTTCTTTCTCCTCTCTCTCTTTTTCTATCCCCTCTTTCTTTCCTTTCTCTTTCTCTTCCTTTCTCTCCTCTCTTTCCTCTTTTTCCTTTTCTTTCCCTCTCTCTTTTTCTCCACCCCTCTCTCTTTCTTTCCTTTCTCTTTCTCTCCCTCTCTCTCTCCCCTCTCTCTTTCTATTTCCCAATCCTCTCTTTCCCCTTTCTCATTTTCTTTCCCCTCTGTCTCATTCTCTCTCTATATACCCTTTTATATTTTATGCATTACATCTCTTTTTTGTATTGATATGATACTCCCAGAAGCATGAATGTATATCACATGTGTATTTTACTCTGTATTTCAAATTCAAATTCAAATTCAAATTCAAATTTATTCATGTTTCCAACAAAACATTACAAATCAATTATATAAACTTAAAACAAATTTAAGAAATACATGTTGGAAACAGAGGGGTCCACTAAAAAGCAATGCTTGTACAAGGGTGAACACCTCAAATGAAACTTAAGAATAATGAGTAATTAAATTATCTAATATGTAACTACAAAAGGAACTATAAAATAGGGGAAATAAAAGGGGAATGCCAACAGAGACGAGAAAGGGACAAGACAATACTTTACACGACAAAGATAGAAGAACACGGTCATAATACAAAGAGTAGACAATGAAAAAAAGAAGTGAGAGATCGAGGGTACAGAAAATAATACTAAAAGATGAGCTGGGGTTGAGAAGAAGATAAGGAAAGAGAAAGGAAAAAGAAGTGCGCGTTAGAAAGGAAATAAGCATGAGAAGGAACAATATAATATATCAAATTACATCTTGAGTCAGTGAACGGAGAATGATCGTATATTAAGCAAAAAGCAATAACGGCATATAATTCAATGAGGTGTATATGATTTTAATAAAAACAACTTCAATTTTTTCTTAAAAGTATTAATCGATGGAGCATTTTTTATTTCACCACTTAATGAATTCCAAAACTTTGGACCTTCATATATAAATGTTTTTTGAGCTTAGAGGGTCCGCAAGAGAGGTAAATGGAAATCATCTGAATGTCTTGTTGGGTAATTATGAACTGAGCTATTTTTAAAAAACATTTCTTGAAAAACAGATGGCAACATATTATTATTATAATTATACATAAATTGACCAAGTTGGAAAAAATATAAGTCTTTTACCTTAAGTATTTTATTATCAAAGAATAGAGCGTCTGTATGGGAGCGAAAGGGGGAATTACAAATAATACGAATAATCTTCTTTTGTAATAAAAACACTTTATCTAATAACGTTTGATGAGTGTTACCCCAGACTAAGAGACCGTAGTTCAAGTATGGGAGTATCATAGAACTATAAAGCATAATTAAGGAATTAAGAGGAAGACATGTCTTTACTTTGTAAATAATACCAATATTTCGAGAAATAATTTTACAAATATTGTCGATGTGATTTCTCCAAGAAAGCTTTTGGTCAACCGTAACACCCAAAAATGTATTAAATGAAACACACTCCAATGGAGTATTTTCAAAAATTAAGTTTGCTGGCAATGAATTTATAGATTTACTAAATAACGTATACTTCGTTTTCTGGATATTCAAAGATAATTTGTTCGCTCTAATCCACGATAAAATATTACGCATTTCAATATTAATAATTAAATGTTAAATGTTCAATATTAAAATGTCATAATGTATCTTCCATAGAATCCATCTCTTAACTGTAATATGGATTTCAATTAATATTTATCAAGCAATTTTGACTGCTTTTATCTTCTCAGATTGATTCCAACCTTGGTGACTGGCAGTTCTTGTAGAATCCATCTCTTAACTGTAATATGGATTTCAATTAATATTTATCAAGCAATTTTTTACTGATTTTATCTTCTTAGATTGATTCCAACCTTGGTGACTGGCAGTTCTTGTATGTTGATCTAGTCATCACCACCACAGTCGCTGTCCTCAGTAAGTTTTTTTTACAGGGTCTTTCATATTTAGTTGAATAGTTGGTTGGTTTGTTTGTTTGTTATAACTGACTGGTAAGAAAGTGCATTTATGCTGTTAAAGGCATCATTTTACAATGTTAAATCTGAGATGCATGGCCCTACGTTATCAGTGTCTGTGATATGGTGTAATATGGAAGCCCTAAAAAAATTGCGCTTCAAAATTATCAAGAAGTGCCTCAAAAAATAAAAATCTTTGAGTGACCAGTTTTACCATATGCGTTTTCCCCAATAGAGTGCAGTGTTATGAAAACCGTTAGGAAAACGCAAAATTTGGTTGTATAGAAAGACTACCTGTCCATAAATACCACAGTTTTCATTTCCCTTGAAAATGGGTTCTTATTGAAACTTTTACTAAAGGAACCTGTGAATAAAGACCACCTGCCTATAAAGACCGCTTTTCTTGTCAACCTTGAACAGTCTCTATATACTCAGGTTTCTGCCTTTAGTTTGACGGTTGGTGGACTGGTTTGTTCCAAGAAAGGAAGGAGGTTATGAACAGATTTAAGTCCTCTCTGAGGGAGGTGGTAATGAGGATTCATGCCTTTGATACCATAGGGTGCTTGTATATTGACTTGGTTTTGAACCCATAACCTCCCAGTCAAGAGATCACTCCTCTACCACTGAGCCGTTAATTTTGTCCTGAAGTAGAAATACGATCATTGTGAAGATTGTTCCGATAGAGAAGGCAGATATTTGCCAAACCAAACCTAACAATGACCACAGATTTAAAACTTCTCAATCGACTATTGAAAGCTAGTTAGGGTAATTGTTTACTACATATCCTAGTGGCAGGGAAGGGGGCTTAACAATTTGAATGTCGCATTGAAAAAAAAATTATTTATTTATATATTTATTTATTCATTCTTTTTAATTTTTGTTTTGTTTTGTCTGCGGACGATAAATGAAACCATTATTTTTGTGATTGGACATGTCTAAGTGAAATTGTAACACTTATTTTTTTCAGTGGGAAGGAATGAGACATATTCCAAAATTGTGATGCAAATGGGGGGGGGGGGGGGGGGGTAACTTCAGACAATAAACAGAATAATTATTTTTTGTGATTGGGTCACCTATAAACAATATTCTAATAGAGTCAACCTGCTTTAGTGACCACCTGTCTACAAAGACCACATGTTTACAAGGACCACATTTTTTTCCCCTTGAAAATGGTTTCTCATTGAAACTTTTACTATAGGAACCTGTCTACAAAGACCACTTTTTGTGTTTCCCCTGGGCGGTCGCTATAGACAGTTTGACTGTAACTCTATTTTTCAGTGGGGGGGGGGATGAAGCATATTAAAAACTAGTGATTCAAGTTAAGGGGGGGGGGGTGTTTTTATATCTTCAGGCGCCAAACAAAATCATTAAGCAAATAATAAATGAACATTTCTTTTTTTTTAGTGGGAAGAAATGAAGCGTACCCCAAGCTTGTGAAGCAACGTCCCCCGGGGAGCATCACCAATCCCACCATCCTCGTCTCAATCTTATCTGAGATACTGGTGGTGGCAGCGGTACAGACGACGGGATACTTTCTCCTCCTCACACAGCCATGGTAAGTACAATCAAACCTGCTTTAGTGACCACCTGTCTACAAAGACCACCTGTCTACAACAGGCACATCTTTTGTTTCCCTTCAAAATGGTTTCTCATTGAAGCATGTACTAAAGGAACCTGTCTACAAAGACCACTTTCTGTGTTTCCCTTTGGCGGTCGCTGTACACAAATTTGACTGTGATACTGTATGTACAGTGATCAACATAATAATTTGACAAATTTACGCTGTTTCATTTGTAGGTTTACACCCCTGACGCCCAGTCATGACCCGGATGACAACATCCTGTGTTACGAGAACTCTGTGATATTCCTCATCTCGTCGTTCCAGTACATCATGCTGGCAGCGGCCTTTTCCAAGGGAAAGCCTTATCGTCTTCCAATCTGGACCAACGGTGAGCAAAAAGTTATTAATAATGATAATAATGATCATAATAGTGGGTTCTTGTATAGCGCTCTTGTCTGTCAGACTTGACACTCCTGGCGCTCCCGATTATATCCCTGGCTTTAGCACGGCTGCCATTACGGCGCTCTAGCATTTCAAGGAATTAATTCCTGCCAGGTACCCATTTACATCACCTTGGTTGAGTGTGGTAAATATAAATCAATGTCTTGCCAAAGGACATTAGTGCCGCGGCGGGACTCGAACCACAGACCTTGGGATTGACAGTCCAGTGACATATCCACTCGACCATGACACCTATACTATCATCGATGAAAGCAGCTGAGAATATCTCTACAATCCTTCATAAAACGTGAATGATTATAGGCTAGAGGCCATGTATCTTTTTGAAAAGATGCTATATAAATTGAATTGTTTGGGAAAGCCCTATCGTCTTCCAATATGGACTAACAGTGAGCAAAAAATTATTTTCTATCATCGATGAAAGCATCTGAGAATGTATTTCTATTATCCTGTATAAAACGTGAATGATTATAGCCAGGATGGGGGGGGGGGGGTACTCATATATCAGGACATACGGAGTGTGTCGCTCTAATGGGTCGCTTTTTCACAAAAAATTCCTAAATATGGGTTCCCACTTTTAACCAAAATACCATTAAAAATGGGTCCGTTTTTTCAAAATTTGAAAATCACCCGAAAACTTGTGATAGTATTGTCAAGAACTCCAGTGTTCATGCATACCTGCCAACCACCCCGATTTAGGCGGAGTTTCTCCGCATTTTTCATACCAACTCCGAATTCCGAGTGCATGCCTCAAAACTCCGATTTTTTTTTTATTTAATTTTTTTTTTTTTTTTTTTTAATAATTTTTTTAAATTAATATTTTGTGTGTGCGTCCGCCATTTTCAATGGCAAAATGTCCATTCTGTCCTGTAAAGTATCCTACAAGCATCTCACATCAGCAATTTGGGGATGTTTATTCATACCTGCGTATAGCCCACGTGTATTTATATTACATGTGCAGTTGATACGCCGTGCATAAACACTGTATACATTGGCGTGTTTTCTTCAATGCTTGTGCGATGACTGCGATCGTGGAAGCTTGTTATTTACCGGACTTCCTCGGATTTATTTTGGATTACTACTACTATATACCTTTGCAAAATAGGGCTCCTAACTGAGGTGGGTAGTGAAACATGTAGTTTTGTGAGTGTTCACATTTCAAAAATTGTTTATGTGTGGGGCGAAAAGGTTGAAGGAAAAGGCCCATTTGCACCATTAAAATGGAGAGAAAAAAAAATAGACCCTAAAGTCCTGTGTACCCCCCCCCCCCCCCCCCCCCCAATCTACGGGCTACTACCCCAATCCTTCGGTGGTTCGCGACCTCGTAGTCCATCCAGAAAAATTTACTCCTAATTTCTCTTGTCTCAGGTTGGCAGGTATGTACATGTATGTTACACAAGACGTACGTGTAATACACTTGGAAACAGGGGAGAGTATGTCTTTAATTCATGTCCATTTATCTCTTTATCGACAGTCCTGTTCCTGATCGCGCTCATCGTCCTAGTATCCACGACTGTGGTGATGCTGTTCTTACCAGTTGAATGGTCGATCTTCACAAACTTCCTTCAGTTGAAGCAGATTGCTCCCGTCAGCCTTCAGTTTACCCTCGTCATTGCAGCTCTGGTGCTCTTCAATGCTCTGTTTGCCTTTATTATGGAGGTGAGGAAATGAGAGAGAGAGATGAGGGGGACGGAGGGAGGGAGGGAGGGAGGGAGGGAGGGAGGGAGGGAGGGAGGGAGGGAGGGAGGGAGGGAGGGAGGGAGGGAGGGAGGGAGGGAGGGAGGGAGGGAGGGAGGGAGGGAGGGAGGGAGGGAGGGAGGGAGGGAGGGAGGGAGGGAGGGAGGGAGGGAGGGAGGGAGGGAGGGAGGGAGGGGGAAGGAAGGAAGGAAGGAAGGAAGGAGGGAGGGAGGAAGGGAGGGAGGGAGGGAATGAGTGGGGAAAGGAGGGAGGGAGGAAAGGCGGGAAGGGAGGAGGGAAGGAGGGAGGAAGGGAGGGAAGGAGGGAGGGAGGATCGGCGGAGGTAGGGAGGGAAGGAATGAGTGGGGGAGGGAGGGAGGGAGGGAGGGAAGGAAGGAGCGAGTGAGTAAGTTTACTGTCAAATATTTGTGCCGTTTAATATCCTGTTTGCTTTATAATGGAGTTAAGGGAAAGGGATGGAGAGAAACAGAGAGAGAGAGAGAGAGAGAGAGAGAGAGAAGGGGAGGGAGGTGAGAGGGAAAGTGTTAAAGGGTCAAATTCTTAAAGGATGTTTTAAACTTTAATGAGTATATTATACACGTGTCTTTAGTTTCAGTAATCAGGCAATACATGTAGATACCCTTATACACTTATTTTAGTCTACAGATTAATACTGTTATGTAGATTATTGTTAAAATTGATTCCACATTAGGAAATCTGGCCTATTATTTTTATCAGTTCATCTTAATGGTTTGTTGGAGAGCTTGGGGAAATTAAAAAATGAAGAAGAGGAAGAGAGATACGTCAGAGAGAGAGAGAGAGGGAGAAGAGGGAGAGAAAAGAATGAGAAAAGAACGAGGAGGGAGGGAGAAGAGGCAGAGAAAAACGGAGAGAGAAAGGGATGAGGCAGAGAAAGGAAGGAGGAGAGAGGGAGAAGAGGCAGAGAAAAGAAGGTGGAGAGAGGGCGGAATCTGCCCCCTCTCTGGCCTAGAGACCCTCAATAACCCAGCTTTTTATGGTGAAATTGGAATGTCAAGAGATTGTTTTTCCTGCAAACGTTGTTTCATGACTATTTTGTTTATTCTCTCCTGTTATTCAGACTTGTGTGGTTGACCTACCGGCCCTCAAACGTGTCATTCGTCCACTGCGATGCAAGAAGGGGCCCAAGAACCGCTACAAGCTGGTCGAAGCCGACCTCACCAACGACCCCTCCTGGCCCCCTGTCGGACATACCTCAAGCCCCCACAATAAGATATTCAACGTAAGCATCAACTCTGTGTGATTCTCCATCATGTTATTAAAACCAGAAACTTTACGAGTTCTGCTAGTGGTTCATGGACAACACACTTCAATGATGTGGAAATAGCTGAAGCACAATTGACATGAAAGATATTCAATGTAAGCATCAATTCTGTGTGATTCTCCATCATGTTGTTTGTTGATTGTTTTTCATTATTTTTATATCATTTGTATATTTTGGAAAAAGGTAATTTTAGTTTTTTTGATATATGGCTGTTATATGAAATGGTGGTAGGAATGTATTTAACACAGTATTTTATGTATATAAGGTGGAGGAAGATAATTATAAGGGATAGACATTTTTAATTTGCATAGATATCTTCTAACGTTGCAATGATTAGATCAATGACACTTTCCTTTGAGTATGTGATAATTGTTTATATCCCATCGTCGTTGAAACTCAAGATTATCTTTGATGAATTATATCATAGCATGTAGTTTATATTCTTGTGTTAGTTATTTTTTTATGGGGAAAAAAACAATGATATGTAGAATGGTACCAAAGAGGTGTGTCTAGAAGGCATTGTTTAACAATGTTTAATCTGAGATGAATGGCCCTACGTGTTATCAGTGTCCGTGATATGGTGTAATATTGAAGACCTTAAAAAAAATTGCGCCTCAAAATGATCATGAAGTGCCTGTAAAAAAGTAAAAATCTTTTAGTGACCGGTTTTACCATATTCATTTTCCCCAAGACTGTAGTGTTATAAAAACCGTTAGGAAATGAAAACATTGAAATTTCGATTTCCAACCATAAATATCTTGAAAATCAGACAGGCGATCGGCTTGTAAAAGTCATGGGATTCCTGACTGACCTAACGGTTTATAACTATGATGATTGCGGCATGAGCTAAATCCAGGATTTTGTTTCATAATTTGAGGCAATGTTACAGAGTCACTTTAACTAAACTACAGTTCACAAATTGTTCAGGAAAGTGGCCTGAAGATCATATCATGACAACTTTTTGAAGATTTTAAAAATCTGGCACGCATTTTTCATATACCATGCATCTCTACAAACACTTCCCAACTACATCCCTTGTTTGCATGCATCGGTACTCCAACGTGCGTAAACCATTTTGCATGCAAGTCTCAAGGTGCAGATGTTCCTGTATCGTTCATATCAAATTTCAAGACATGGCTACCTTAAAGACTTTAAAAAATACTGAAGCATATTGGTCTGATACCGTCTACACAGACTACATGCGAGTTGCTGGAATCCACTGTGCATACGTTAGTTTCGCAGTGCTAGCCATGAACAAATCAGGATGTTACGTCCCAGAGAGCCAGTATAGAAGCAGCTATGCTTCGAATATTAAAGGGACACTGTCCTACTTGTAGCTACTTGCTCCCTCTATATAGAAAACTTCCCCAATCGGTGCCTGTTTGTCCCCCATGATCCTCTTTTTCTTATGTTAAATGAGAGCTGAGTTAATGAGATAGCCACCTGTCACAGTGACCTCGCTGGCTCGCTGGGCGGTCTAATCCCTGCTTCTGGCTAAAGTAGTATAGCCTGCTTTTAAAGCAGTCTTTATATCTTTTATATACCGAATTCACACAAAAATATGTAAGAATTTTTACCTTATCCTTTTCTTGAGTAAATACTGGTTAAAACATCACAGAAAATCTGAGACACTGTCTGTAAATCTTTGCTGGAAAGTTGACTGAGTGTTACAATAATTTGGAAATCACAGACAAAAAGCACTGTATGGTATCCGTGCTCGCACAAAGTAAGTTTTAACACGTAAACCAATGGGATCTCATCAAAATGTTACTATTTTCCTGGTACCCAGAATCTTTAGGGAATCTCACTCATGAACTATTCACCATTACTGGCATTGTTCGTTTCTCTACGGGAATGGCTAAAATCACAACTCCCATTTCGACCAATCAGATGGCCGGATTTCTAAAGAGAGGTGTATGAACATAGTCATGGATAAAGTGAATATGCATGTACCAGGAAACCATTCATGTGCTAACCCAAATTAGAAACTAGTAATATGTTACATGTTACATGTTACAAGTAGTAGGCCAGTGTTTTCTGTTCTTCAAATTGTGACCTTCTTTGCAATAAGAGTTTCTGCACTGCAAGTACGGTAATCGAATATATTTTTATACAGTTGTCATTACTGAGAATAAGAATGAAATCTCATGTGTTCTATTTATTGTTGTGACGAATGATGTACATAATCTCTGTCATGTATACAGTATGTATTTTGTAAATGATAAATAGTTATGAATGTCAATTCTATTATCCTTAATTGTCAAAATGCCTTGCTTATTTATACGAGTCAGCTTTACAATTTCTTGTGAGATAAAATTCATTTTCTAATGAGATTATTCTCAGTAGTAAATTTTTTCTATAAAAGATTTGAACATATCTGTGCTGTGTGTATTTAAATTGAGGAGCAAATATGTTCATATATATTATATACATTTATACTATATCGTGATAGTGGTTTAATTTTCATTTAGAAAGAACAGAATTTAAATATGTGGATTTGATATTAAAAACAGTATATTATTTCATTATTGACTGAAAGTATTACTCAACAGTAGATTATATGTTAATATACAAAGCTATTTTGTTTTTATCTGTTAAGTAGATCAGTAATTACAGGTTCTGTAATTCTATTCAGTTTCAGTGATATGTTGACTTTGTAAAATGTAAGCAAATTTTGCAAATTGCTCTTTATTCTGATGTTATGGGCTTCTTGAAGATATTTTTATCTGAAAGCTAATTACAGAAGATTTAGTAAATGTGCATCTTTGCGTGTATGCCCCGCCCAAATAAATTGTCATCACAATATATATAATTCCACTAACTGAACCGCTGATAAACCACTGAGTTTGATAATGTGCTTTTCTTTGGGTATTTTAGGAATTACTTAGTTTTTGATAGCGCTAACATTTTATACTTCACATCTCAGTTATATTTTGAGGCTCCATTATATAATATTTTTTTGTAAGAAAAAGTGATGATTGTGCATCCTTCTGATGCTACTTATAGGATGGCAAGCGAGACCTGTTTGGTCCTTTAACAAAACCAAGGATTGTAGCAAAATTGTTTGACCAATGTACATGTAATATCTCTTTTATATTTCTCAAAGATTGTAATCTTTTTCAAAAATTTCATTTATTTGATTAATTTGTTTGCGTGTGTTAGATTTTACTCTGGAAAGTGTGCGGAGAGAGAAAAGTTGTTCAAGTAAAAATGTCGGCACTTCTAAAGTGAGTCATATGAAATGTCAATGTGTTCAATCATTTTTTTTTATTCTAACAACAAACTTATAAATACTTATAAATTATACCTGAATATTTCTAACAATGTAACAATGACTGAATGAATAAAATTTGAAACGGTGGAAAACATTTCAAAGTTGTCCTGCACTACATTGTACGTCACACCAACTTTACTGATTTTTGCCAAATTGAATTTTACGATTTCTTTTAGAGTAGTTTTCTCCCAAGTTTTGCATTTTTCTTTGAGTAGAAAATAAGAAAAAAAGCGTTAATAAATATCGCTAATTTTGCTCCTCGTTCTTTTTAAAGATTAAATGCTCGAGATGTCTTTATAAAGTGCTACTTCGAGGAAAAAATATTATCAAAGATAAATTTGAGTACTGGTTATTTTATTACACTGAAAGAAACTTCTGGAAAGAATTGGGGAAAGGTTGATTACGGATAAGAATCGTAGTGTACTGTAAGGTTTGGAAATATTTTTTTGGACTTGATCTTGTTAAAGATAGATGCTCTCTGCACTCAATAATAGCTATATGGAACTAAGCACATATGCTGGTTAGGCCCAAATTTTCGAATGCCATATGAGGGCATTTGAACAGCAATGTTTTTTCGGGAGAGGTTGGTATTCTCCAAACTGACGTAAAAACAATGAGAAGAACAAAAGTGACAAATTCTTCCTTTTTTTTTCTTTTCCAGAAGTCAAATTTCTCTTTGAAGCAAAATCCAATTTAGATTTAACAAACAACTAACACGACCCACATTAAAAAAAAAGATTATTTACGAAATAAATGTCAAAAGGCTTATCAATAAAATTTAACGACATCTGCTGTGATAAACCGATAATGATACGATACAAAATTGAGCGAGTTTGATGACTTCCTGAGTAATGAATATTTGATGTAAAAAAAGGGAAGATTTTATAGTTAGGTGATGGAATGAATACCACGAAGTCATTATGTGAAAGTCATAAAACTGTATTTATGGTTCACCACCATTAGAGTTTGTTTGGAAATTTAGATGCCCGCATCTTTTATACATACATAAAAAGAACGAAATAATAGAATGGCATAATAAGAAATCTTTATCTGTAGGCCATGAAAACTCTCTATTGATGGTTCATTGCTATCAGTTTCATTACTTTCCAGAACAATATACGTACAAAGTTAGGAGATTGTCTTCAGGCCAGGCCTGCATCTCTTGATCAACTTTTATGATGAAACTTTGGCGTTCAACAAATCGCCGTGTACATTGCCTCGCAGTAATCCTGCATTATTTTTAACCATTTGGAATTCACAAAAACTCTGCATTTTGCTCTTATGCAGCTCCTCATCTGATATTTTTTTCCTTCTCATTTGAAACTACAAACTTATTTTGCCTCGAATATATACCCCAAAATGATAAGATTCCAATCAATCATAAAATCTTCTAATAAAACATCGGCGTTCTACAATACGCCACGAACAGTACCCGCACAACATGCTTGCATTAAAGCCCCACTACACTACTTATAGCTACTTGCGCCCTCTATAAAGCAAACAATGCCTAATTGGTGTCTGTTAGCCCCCCATGATCCTCTTTTTCTTATATTAATTGAGAGCTGATTTGATGAGATAACCACCTGTCGGTGACCTTGCAGTGACCTTGCAGTGAGGACTAACCCCCTGGCCAAACTAGTGCAGACGGGCTTTAATTCCGATCATCTGAAATTCACAGGTAACTCTCAATATTATGCTAGGACGTTTCTCCTCACCGTTTATATTTCTTTTTCGTTTTTTAAGAAACGAGTGCATTTTACTTCTAATTTATGGAGTTTACGTATCACTAATTGAGGGAAGACTTTAACGTGTCTGTTGAGCGCTGTAATGCGGTTCGGACATTTTGATAGTCATGCGATGTTTTGAAACTTTATCTTTTCACTTGAGAGGAAATCACACCTCTATTCAACATTTGACTTTGCATTTTTATTTTTGCTATTGCATTTAAAATGTCACATACAACAGGCGCGATTTTAGAATAAAAACTGGGAGGCTTTGGTGGGATTTCGGGGCCTATGGGAGTTCTTACATTTATATTGTGCCTCGCTCAAATTCATTTATAGTAAAGAAATATTTAGGTGAAGATGGGGGTAGGTCATAGGGCTCCCAAGCCCCTTCTGATCTAGAACTGCGACACTTATACATGCAATTTGCCAGTTTTCGAGAGAGGTATAAATCGTAGCCATATCTTCGTGTGTGGATTAAAATGGCGTTTTAAAAGGCAATTAATCCGATAATGGTTCGTAAGTTTTCGACTTATGATAATAACACATAATGGATGAA